AACGACAACCTCACGAGTCGAAAGGAAGAAAAAAAATCTCTCAGAAAGTATACTAGCGCTGCACTGGACTTCCCGTGTCAGCTCCGCTTATGAAGCCGCAGTCTAATCCTGTTAACATGAAATAAGCAAGCTCGCGAGCAGGTTTAAGATTGCGCACCTGTTGCTATTCGAGCAAGCCCAGGAAGAGCATCGAAGAACCAAAATATGCAAGATCATGACAAATTGCCAGCAATCAAACCCAGCTAAGTGAGTTAGCGACGTACAAAGAATGGGCATAGGTCCCCAATTGAAAATGAGGCGGAGGTGGTAGGCCTAAAAGCGTAACACTATAGGGGGGTCCGGGGGCATGCCCCACGGGAGAAAATTGTGTACATTTTAAAGATAAATTCATTAATCTGGTGCACTTTGAGTCACTCGAATCTGTTGTTAAAAATAAATAATCCAGCCGCCAACCACCCCTTCTTTGATTAAGAGGCTATTTGCATCTGATCATCATATTACAATTTTTCAAATTCTCAGTGTTAAGCATGATAAGTAGGCTAACATTTCACACTGAAGTAGGCTGATTTAAAATTAACATTTATTTAAATTAAAAGTTCTACTTTAGGTAAAATTACATTTCCTATAAGCGGAGGCTTTACTCCCTTCAAACTTAAATTGTTAATGTTTCATTACATCACTTTTTGAAAACACTCTTATCGGAATAATTTTTTTACCTTTATAAAGGGCATTTCCCCCCTAATTTTATGCTCTAAATATCTTTTAAAATTCTTACATTTTACCAATACGTTCAATTAAAATAATAAGACACTATAGGCTCAAATTACATTATTTAGTATGCCTACCCTATATTGTTTCTTAACTATAATTAATATGTTATAAATAACTGGGCGAGCCTCAACAGCGCAACTTTGTTACCATCCGTACATTAGGTAGGGCTATATTATTATCAACTAATCGCGACTTACATTAAATGAAATAAAACAGAATCTTCCTCGCGTTTTCGGTGATTCCCTGGTTATTTTTTATATTATATTTTATATCACTTTTCCCTTAAAACAAACACAAAACACACACGTGTCCCGGACAAGCGTTGTAATGTCAAGCACTGATACGTTTTCTTTGATTGCTTTCCCTGAGAACAGTTGTTGAAAAGGAAAGTAGCCTAAATGTGTGACGCGCGTTCATTGCGTTTTACCGTGATGAGAGTTCCATGTCTTTATTAAACTCACCACATTTGATTATAATGATTTATCTGTCATCCACCCTCGATTGAATGATTTTTTTTTTATTGGGCTACTTGGCCCGCTCGACCCGTGTATTATGAAAGGTGTTTGAAGGCCAAACAATTGGATAACAATAGCTTGAAAAAAGTCTGATGTCCATCTACAGAAGCCAATAATAATAAAAATAGGATTATTTTAGTTATTTAGGCTACACACTTGTCATGTTTTATAGCCTACCTGGCTACTAGCGTCCAGGTTTATATAAGCCTGCCTATTTATTAATTGATTTTTCTTCTTCTAACGTTACTCTGGTATAACGTTAGTGCTGCATATTATGACCGTTCTAAAAGCTTGGCTTTTATTTTGATAGGCCATATTTACTATTACTTCCGGGTCACGTGGCCAACCTGTCTATGTTTTAATGTAGATCTTCAAATGGAAAAATGGAAAAAGGAATTTCAAAAAACCAAAATCAGACCGTTATTTGATTTTGGTTTTATCATTTTTCGTTTTTGGATTCAGAACCAAAAACGGGAGAACGGCTCTTTTTTTACCGTTTCTTTGTTTTTGGTTTGAAAGGACAAACGAAAAAAAGGTGGTTTCTCGTTATTTTGTTTTGTGGTTTAAACGAAAAAACAAACTATTAAAACGTACACGGACCCACGGGTCAGGGGATCTCTGGATAATCCGTAATTCGTTTGTAATTATAAAACGAAAATACCGTTTTTCTGTTTTTTGTTTCAAAACGAGAAACCAAATAACCGTTTTTGGTGTCAAAATCAAAAAACGAAAAACCAATTAAAAACGGTCAGTTTTTCGTTTTTGGCGATCATTTTTATCGTTATTCCTTTTTGAACAAAGAATGAAGAGAGTCTTTGAACTTCCGTCTAGTCGTTTTTCGTTTATAAACAAAAAACGGAAGTCACGTGGTCTATTCCTTATTTGGAAGGGAAAGTAACCGGTAACACTTTCAAAATAAAAGTAACTATAGTTAGCGAGGTGATTGTAGACTAAAACTGAACTAATATAACGTTTTTTAGTACAACTAAAGTAGCACTGGTTGTGTAAAAAATACTTTAGTTAACTGAAATAAAAATTAAAACTAATAAAATAATAACTCTTAATAAAATTAAACATTTGTAAGACCATTGGTGACCTCTGTAACTTCAGATTAAGACAAGTGAACTCATTTTATATGTAGCTTAGGATAGCAGGTAGCCTATTTATTTATAAGTTTCTATTATTTAATTCACATTTTAGTTTTGTAACATATTTATGACAACAAGCAACAAAGGTTTGACCTTTTGACCTTTTCACCTGCCTTCCAGCTCCTCTTTCTATGGCACTAGCTGCTAAAAACTCTCAGCTTCCACCATCTACTGTTACCCCTTCTGTGTCAAAACAAAACTCTTCCAAAACAAATCTATAAAGTTGTATACTTTTTATTTTCCTTTGCATTTTTCTCCAGTGTAATATACTTATTATGTTAGTTAAGTAGATTAAATATTTTTTATACAGCTTGTAGGTCTCATTAGTTATGTAGACCTACTTGTGTGTGAAACCTAGCATTACTCAGTCAAAAATGATCTCTAGCTCTGGGACTTTCAGATCTTTTAGTGCTTTTTTGGGTTTAATTCTGTTTGATGAACCACCAGGGAAAGGCAGTGCTCTGTACTCTTGGTACTTGTGTAAAGTAAAATAAAAGTGAAGTTAAATCATTTAGTTTTTCTCCCTGGTACTCATGTCAGGGCCTCCCAGATTTCCCCAATACCTGGAGGATGTGAGCCTGTGCACTGTGTGCAGGGTTTAAGGACTGATGATAGTAGCAAGACTGGCCCCAGTCACCTACCATCACTCTCTCTTCAAATAAATGCTGGACTGGCAGGACAAAGCAGCACACCACTCCTTCCTCCGGCACCATAAAAGGGCCTTGTTGTCACTTTCAGATATTTACATCATGGTTTATGGTAAGCCACATCTTTGAATTGTCGCACTACTTTTGTGGAATTGGATATTGAAATAAGTGTGTACTAAGACTAATTGTGACTTTGGTGCTACAAGTGCGGCACCCAGTGTCACTAGTAATGCTTCTGTTGGAAATAGTGGGACACAAGTGCCACTAAATGGAGTGTAATGGAAACTGTTAAAAAGAGCGACCAGGGTACAAATAGTGGTTGATTTTCCTTTATCACCAGCCCAACAAACAATACTACTATTATGTTTATGGTTAAAATTGAACATTCACCCAAACAAATTTAGTTTTTTTGTTGTTGTCACAGGTAGAACTATTCTTTATGCTTTTCATTAAGTTGTTTATTTAAATGTATTGTTGTTATTCTAGTTCTCATGGCTGTGCTGTGTTTATTTAATTATTTAATTTGCTTGACTGTTTCTTCTTTTGATTCTCCCTCAGTTGTTTTCTTACGTTAGCTGTTTATTGCTGTTATTTGGCTGGTTGTCTCTTGGTTTTGTGGGGTTTTTTTGTGTCTTTTCTCTGCCTCATCCCCGTTCTCTTACTGGTGTTGTCCTTTCTCTGTGGTGTCTGTTGTGTGGTTTTTGTGGCCCCCATCCCCAAATCAATTTATAATTAAATAAATAATAAAACAAAGGAGTATAGTAATACTCTTGTTAAATGTAAAATGTGTCTGGCGCAACATGGTATCCAGCTCCTCAGGCTGTGGTGCAGCACTAATCATATGGCTGATGGACAGAGAAGGTAATTTTGTACCATGGTTTTTACTCGTAAGGGTTCATTATGGTCAAGACTAGTGAGATCAAATGTTCAATTATTTAAGGTTATGTCCAAATTTGTAGAGGAAACAGATGTCAGATAATTCTCCCTAACAGACAGAGTTATTATTTTATTAGTTTTACTTTTTATTTCAGATAACAAAAGTCTTTTTTCACACCCAGTGCTACTTTAGTTGTACTAAAAAAACGTTATATTAGTTTAGTTTTAGACTACAATCACCTAACTATAGTTACTTTTATTTTGAAAGTGTTACCGGTTACTCTCGCTTCCAAATAAGGAATAGACCACGTGACTTCCGCTTTTCGTTTATAAACGAAAAACGAATTGACTGAAATTCAAAGACTCTCTTCATTCTTTGTTCAAAAAGGAATAACGATAAAAATGATCGCCAAAAACGAAAAACGGGCCGGTTTTAATTGGTTTTTCGTTTTTTGATTCTGACACCAAAAACGGTTATTTGGTTTTTCGTTTTGAAACAAAAAACAGAAAAACCGTATTTTCGTTTTATAATTACAAACGAATTACGGATTATCCAGAGATCCCCTGACCCAGAAATCTCTCAGATTTCATTAAAAAGATAATTTGTGCTCCGAAGATAAACGAAAGTCTTGCGGGTGAGTAATTAATGACAGAATTTAAATTTTGGGGTGAATAACTTTTCAATAATAACACCAGTTCAATTGTTAGTGCAAATCATTTTAACAGTTAAATACCTTTTTATTTTAATTATGTATCAGTAAATGTTGAAATTAAAATGAATTACTAAATGCTTTAGAAGTATTTTTTTCATTGTTAGTTTGTAGTTTCCTAATGTTAACAAATGGAATCAACATTTTAAGAAAATCTCCAGCACATGTCAATATGCTTGACTCCTTTAGAGATATTCAAGCATTATTAGAACTATTTTCTGACAAGACAGTTTTACAAACCATTCTAGAACTACATTCAATCTTTTTGCAGTTGCTCCATCTAGTGGCAACCCATTTTATTTTCACTGTACAGACGGAAGAACAAGACACAGATCAGTATCAAACTAGATTTATTATATACAGTAGTAAATGGCCAACACAGGATCCTCTGCTCTCCCGAACACCACTGCCATTCCCATTACAATTCTCACACATGTTGAGTTGACTGTGGAGCTGCTATTTCACCAGGATAGTGTTTAATACTTTTGATATGCCAGAAAGGCTAAATGAGAGGGATGTTACAATATGATGTATTTGTAAAGGGCAAAAAGTATGACAATAAAAACAAGGGGAACACTTCATTTGTATATCATGAAATCCAAACTTAGCAGACAGCAAACTATTAAAGACATACTCAAAGCTTTTAAAATTAAAAGATGTCTACTGGAATACGATCCACAATCTAGCTTTATCAAACCTGAGGTGTCAGAAACACAATGCTGCAATGTCGACATTTGAAATTGTCCATAAAAAGGGAGCCTTAGAGTAGTTTACTGCGATTAAAGAAAATCTGAGACATACAAATTAGTCACAAACATCCTTTCACAAAACTTCCCTCCTTGTATATAAAAAATAGATGGGGGAGGTGCAACATACGTACATAATACAAAAAAATTTATATAATAGGCATACAATAAACTCTAAAGGTGGGGGAGGAATAACATTAGAAACTCATTTCCAATTCGGTTCAGGGAGAACATTGCAAAAATGGAAATTAGGTTTTTGGGTGATTAAAAAAAGAGAGAGAGAGAGAAAAAAAACCTATTAACTTAAACATTAGATTTCCAAAACCTTTTCCATTTCAGCCCTGAACTGCAGTGGAAGTGAAGAGGAGCACACACAAAAAACCATCATCCACATGTGCTCCATCTTTAGCACGTTCCTCCCGTCTGCTGCTGGAATACATCAATAGTGTCTTCATCTTCCATTTCCAGCTGGAAATTCACATGACACAAAAAGATTGAGAAACATTTTAATCTGAGGCCTAATAACATAGCTTATTTGTGCCCGAGCTCTAGGTTTTCAAATACACATTCGATGACAAAAACATAATCTAAAATGTTTGGTTGATTGTACGAATTGATTAAACTTGTTTTACAGATATTGCATCCTCAAAGACATTTGGAGTCAATTAATACAACTGAACTAGAAAGTCACCATAGCAAGAGAGCATATTTGTTTATTAACCAGTTACTGCTTTCATACGGAGCTGCTCACAACTGTAACAACAAATGCAACGATAAAGGACAAACCTGTGCAGGTGTGTCGGTCTCATTGATTGGCTGACCATCAAACCTGAATCGTATTTGCCTTATGGATAAACCCTGAAAAAAAAAAAAAAATCCAAGTTATAGTCCTGCTCATTAATGTAACACCAGACGTACAATGCTTCAGGAGTGCAGACCTCAGAATCACTGGAGCTCAAGCTGATGTCTCACCTGTCTTTCGCAGTATGCCTTCATCAGTTTGCTGAGGGGGGTGTGCCTTTTGATTTTGAACTGGACCACAGATCCATCCTGACCTGCCACTTTCAAATTGATGTGGTCATTTTCGGTCTTCACGCCCTCCTGAAATGAAACATGGAGAGCAAAATATACCGATAAAAGAGAGATTAATAAACATGCAGGGTGTTGTTTTAATCACACAGAAGGATATACAGTACACACACATCAGAAGAGTAATTTGCGCTAAAGCCACATTGTCCATCACATGCAGCCGCTCAATTAAACATTAGATGTTCCTGTAATACGGAATAAAACGCTTTGAGGTGTTAATAACGCGATAGACAGCAAGACTTGAGTATAAAATATGAATTATTACAAGCACTACTGAAAAAGAACTGCAACCTGCGCGAGAATTCAGACAGTGTTACCCTTTCAGTGCAACTGCGTTTGGCGCAAAGTTGAATCAACTATCCGCCATGAAAGAAAGCCAATCCGAGCATCTTGTTGATGCTGAAATGAGGCGAAACACTGCCGGTTTGATTATAAGCGATGAGAATTGTTATGGTTGTCCATGTAATTGGATGGATGGCTGAGTTAAATGGCCACATGCGGAAAATGCGCAAAATCTTTGTTGAAAACCTCTTTGTTTCCCTTCTAACCAGATATAAAGTGCAGGACCCAGACAATCTACATTCATGCAATATAATCATATCAAAATATTCCTCTCCATGCTACTGGAGCTCAGAACACAGAGACATGCATGTACCTTAGGTTTCTCTTCTGACATTTTTGTAGAAATGTAGGATTTTCCTGATATTGTGGATGTGACGGTAACACGAGAGCGCTACAACCCGCGTCTGTCCTCCCCGCGCTCAGCAAGAACGCGCAAACTGGATTCACCCATTTGATTGGACCGGGTAAAACCACGTGATTCCCAGCAGGCAGCTCTGGCCCGAGAACGCGCAAAATCAACTCGTCTATTTTATTGGACAGTATGAAACCACGTGACCAATCCTCATGTTCTGCTTGAGGTCTTGAGGCCAAAATTTTTTTTACTTAACCCCTTCAGACCTGTTTCAAGTTTCTGAAAAATATAAAAGTACATTCTCCCAGCTCATGAGGCTTCTATTAATGAGACCAAATGAAAAAAAATGAAAAAAATATTGTCTTTCATTGTAATTTTTTTTTCCATTCCAATGGACGTCAGGTCAAAACAGGTGTACTTCCCAAAAATGTACCAACATGAAATAAATTAATAAACATAAAATTTGTTGGTCTATACTTTAAGCTTTTTCTCAAGGTCAAAAACTTTTCAGCAGTATACCATTTCAACTTTAATTTTGAGTTTTTTGTTTTACAGATTGCACATTGTTTGTAACAAACTAAATATCTTTGAATCAATCAATATGGTCATATTAAAGTCATTTTCTGTATGTATCTTTTTTTTTTTTTAGATCAAAAACTTGAACATTATAACATTGCAACTTTAATTGTAAGGTTTTTTACAGATCGCACATTTGTTTATTCATAACAAAATAAACCTAGGAATCAATGAATGCATTCACGTTAGAGTCATTTCCAGTGTGCATCTTTGAAACAATTTCTCTGTTAACGGTTTTCTTGTATTTTTACAGTACATTACTGGCAGCACGGTTGCCAGCAAGTTACTGTATTTCGATTTCCAGTAACTGTAGTGTAATTCACTTTACAGTGCACAAGATCAGTACTGTAGACTACAAAATAGTACTTTACTGTATTTTTACTGTATTTCATAATTTGGTCTGCTTTGCTGTAATTAATTATACGGTATTGTACTGTAATATCTATATTGATACATTACTGCTAAATATTATTGTAATTTTCAAAATAGTTTCTAATAATGATAATATTATATTATAATAATATAATATAGTTATTAGGAAAATATATAGTAGGAAAAAAAATACTATGGAAGTCAATGGCTACTGTCAACTGTCTTGTTACCGACATTCTTTAAAATATCTTATTTTGTGTTCAGCAGAATACAGAAACTCATACAGGTTTGAAACAACATGAGGGTGAGTAAGTGATGACAAATATAATTTTTGGCCAAAAATTCAAATTAGCCCATGATTTACTCACCCTCTAGCCATCCTAGGTGTATATGACATTCTTCTTTCAGACGAACACAATCAGAGTTATATAAAAAAAATGCCCTGGCTCTTCCAAGCTTTATAATGGCAGTGAATGGTTGTTTCTGTTTTGAAAGTCCATAAAAGTGCATCTATCCATCATAAAAGTGCATCTATCCATCATAAAAGTGCATCTATCCATCATAAAAGTGCATATCCATAAAAAAATATTAATATAAAATAAAATATGAAAAATATTCATATTCAAGTTGCGCTTTAGATTGAAGTCAAATCCGTATGTTCATTTGGCCGGAAGCTAGTTATTTTACTTTATAAAGTTTTAAATACGGATATTTTTCTTACATCTCCATCTTCCTCATCACTCCACATAAAGTCAACATCTGAGATATTTCCATCAGCTATATGTTCAAGCACTTCAAGAACTGTATATTCTGCATATGAAAAAGTTTCAAAAATGTATTGGTACTGTGATATAGATTTTTTTATATAAGAAATTTCAATCAGCATTACTGGACATGTGATTTCAGTAACAGGCTTTCGAACCCACTGTCCATTCTAATGGACAGACACATTTGAAAAAATCCTGATTTAAAACGTGCAATTCTACAATCGATTTTTAACTTTAATTAATAAGTTCAATCTTTCTATTTTACATACAAACTATGAAATAATGGCAAAAATATATAAAAAATGTCAATAAAACCATAGAAAATGTTGCTTGCTTCTGTGCTTGGAGTGAAGTGCTGCCATGCTTCTCTTCAATGAAGTGTATTTTTTTATAATTACTACATGCAGAGCTTTACTGCCATTTGATTGGATGACAAACGTCCAATCTCATGGACTGCAGGCTTTAAACTAGGTGAAATGCTCCAGAAGTAAAAAAAAAAGGAGGCTGACATGTGATGTCCATTGTAATGGACGCAGGGTCTGAATGGGTTAATAGTCAAGTCAAGTCAAGTCATCTTCATTTATATAGCGCTTTTAACAATGGATTGTTTCAAAGCAGCTTTACAGAGATAAACATATATAATAATGCACAACATTTAAATATTGTGCGCATTAATTTTGCTTAATGAAAAATGTTACATTATTCTTTTTGGGGAGTCAGGTATAAAAACTGAAAACATTGTTAAACATTTTATATATATATATATAAAATATGTGTGTGTGTGTGCTTAAAATTTTAATTACATATACAATTAAATTAAATTCTTTAAAACTTACCCACAAAAGAATATGAAAAATGTTTTTGTAAAAAAGAAAAGAAAAAGATTGTGCCACTTGAAAAATTACTCTAGTTATGATTAAGGTCAAATCTATACTTAAAATCTATATGTAAGATGAATGACCTTATTGCAAAAAAGCATTTAATTTCAAAGCTGAAACTTGCTATAATTTACATTAATAATTACCTTTTTCTTATTTTTCTAACAACAGATCAGTACTTCCTAATAATCTACAATAAACAATAACAAATATACAATATTCACTTTTATTCCGAGTTTATTTGGCTTTGTAAATTACACTGATAAATTGCCAAACTAATCATTTGGTAATTACAATAAGCTAGTGATTAAAACATTGACAAACACAAAACCAAGTTATATTGAAATATCAATTTACCATTTATGCAAGGCAAGTCCTAGTTTAATCTGATTAAAAAGCTACAGTAAATGACATGTACTGCCAACCAAAAATCAGGTCTGGCCCAATGCACTCAATTATCAACACGTCTTGCTGAATTTATGTTGTCGCTTATTTGGATTTGCAAAAAGTCATCAAGGTACTACATTTACAAAGCTTTTTTAAATACAATGTCTAAATTGTGGTTTGCGTGCAGATTTGTTAAAAATGCAGGTATGAATAAATCAAATTTCAAGCAAATGGCAACAATGTATGCTTGTGTGGCCAGCTGGCAACTAGTACAATCAAATAAAAATGGAGTGCTGGATATGCAAGGAAATGTGTTCATTTTTGTGAGGTATAAGAGAAGTCAACAGCGGAGCATCATCACAAGTTTCTTAGCTGTTCTCAAATCTGGAGTACTGGTTATCCTTTGTCAAACCTGAAACAGAGTGAGTAAAGTTCAAACTCTGAAACACAGTATAACTAACATTTATAAGTTAACTATAGAGGATACTTCTATTTATTTTATACATAATTTATGATGACTGGAAAATTTTTTACCATATTTCAATCGCATTTCATCATGTCTCTGCCTCATCTCTGCTTTCCTGCAACAAAATGATTTTTTTTTTCGTAACACTATTTATTCAAGAAAAGACTCAATGGTTTCCACATTTATTAACAAACTCAAATGTGTGGAGTTAATTGTCCCAAAACAAATCATACCTCTCCTCTTTGCGAAAACTTTTCAGATGAGCTTGTCTTTCCATTCGCTCATCATTCCTCTTAGACCTTTCAGATTATTAGGATAAATTTTTGTTTAGTCATTTCTTATGTGCTCCAATGTGATAGCCATTATTTATTAATAATTAATAGCAGTAAAGCATTATATATATATATATATATATATATATACACACAGCCACATATATCTAATCAGCCAATCACATGACAGCAACTCACTGTTTGATTTAAATAGGCAAATGCTTAAAGGGGTCATATAATGCCATTTTTGTACAAGCTAGTTTGATTCTTTAGGGTCTAAATTAAAAGTTTGTAATATACTTTAATTAAAAATTCTCATTAGTATTGTAAGAAAACACTTATTTTACCTGGTCAAAAACAGCTCTGTTTTCAGCACGCCGTTTCAGTGCATATGACTTTAAATGATAATGAGCTTCGCTCACCCCGCCTCTCTGTTCTGCGCATACACCGTTTGTAACACAATAACCATAACGCGTTGTTCAGTATAAACGTGGGATTATGAATTATATTGAGAACATCATACATAGAAAACATGCCGTAATGTACCCCGAGTATAAACCTTAGACGCATTCATTGTGAAGCGTGCAGCTAGCGATTTGCAAAGATTAATATAAATATTAATATAAAGTTTAATAAAACGTTACACTCACTTCAGTTGTTCTAGAGGTTCAGCAGGAACACGAATATCTGATACCGATCCTTTTTTCATGAGCAGCTTCTTAGCAAAACCAGCTTTATACTGACCCTCGTTTATAAAGCAGTCTGGCGAGAAATGATTCGCGCAAACATGAGAGCATTGACGTTGCTCGTGGGGAATATTCCCTTCGAAAACAACCTCAGCCACTGCGTATTCAGCGGTTCGGATTTAGGAATATTAAAATGACTGCTGTGTTCGTTATTACACCCAAGAACAGAACACCACAATCGCTTAGACGCCATTCTGCTCATAGACAGTGCTCCAGCATATCAACAATGACCGCGCCGGTCCGCACAGACTATGATTGACAGCTCCCTCATGAGCGAGGGCGGGTCTGTGTTGAAACGATGCTGTCAATCAACAATCGTGGGAGGGGCTTCCGAGCTTGTGACGTCACAAAATCGAACGGCTCGATTTGAGGCAGGGGAAAACATATAAGGAGATTAAAACAAAAACACTGGATGGATTTTTATAATTTTATGATGGTTGTGTACAGGCACTGCCAACACACATTTCAGTACAATCAACTTGTAAAAGTGCATGTACCATTATATGACCCCTTTAAGAGACATGACTGGATTTCATTATTGCAGCGATTATATTTCTAACATGTTATATGTATGGCAACAGTTCTTCTAACCCTAATTGATGGAGTGGTTAGCCTTTCATTTATTAAACAACCATGTATGAAGACACATCATGGCCATATTCCAGGATGACAATGTCAAGATTCATCAGGCTCAAACTGTGAAAGAATGGTTGGGAGGGACGGGAGCATGAAGAATCACTTTCACACATCTCTGGGACCTCTAGTCCAGACCTTAAATTCAATGAAAGTCTTTGGGATGTGCTGAAGTAGACTTTACAGAGTGCTGGACGCTTCCATTGTCAATTCAAGATCAATTCAAGAACAAAAACTGATGCACCTCTTGATGGAAATAAATGTTGTGATGTAATTTCTATGTTATCACTGATTTCCTATTGACACACTACAGCAAAAAGATATAAATAACTGGCTTTAAACTTTTTTTGGTGAAAACACTAATGTGCCAACGACTTTTGCACCCCTATATTGCCTTCCCACAATATTAAAAACTTTAATCACAAGCGGTGGTTTTCCTCTTACCCAATGTTTTCACATTTACAGCAGCAGAAGCAGCAGACGAATATGGCGACGAGGATCACCCCGGCGATCACAGAGATGGTAATGATGAGAGTCTGGAAATTCACTGTGATTCATACAACACAGAATTGATGTGATCATTCCTGTCCACAACTTCTACTTCAAAACAGGCAGTATATGCAGAAGGTTAAACTTCCCTTGACTCATTTTACAAGAGTTTAAATGGAGTTCAAAGTAATAAAGTGACAATCAAGAATGTAATGAAGTTAAAGCTACTGTGAACTATGGACTAAGAATGTGGCGAATAAAGTTCTAGTTTTTACAGTTCAGCATACAAGTTTATATTCCGCATGCAGAATGGAAGATCATTATTTACTTATGTTTTATGGGAGAGGACTAAAATAATTTGAAGCTATTTGACAACAGATACAGCCTATATATTCAACAATATACCATATTAAATACATTTACACAAATGATACTGTTCAAACCTGTTCCTTATTTAAAAAACAAAGGGAATGTAAACCGATGAGAAATGGGAAATGTAAACTGTGCATGCTCATAATAAAAAAAATGCACATAATACATCCATTAAGACAGTAAACTAATGACAAGATGTTTCCCGCTGTATGTGATTATCGGTCTTACTCCAGCACATTCCCCATCGTGCATCTGAGAGAGGACAGACACTATGAGATGGTAGAACGCTCTTCACTGGATAGTCAATGCATTTCTGGCTTGAGATGCACCACAAACACTGAACAAAAGATAACATACACGACCATTATACATTTATGTCACAGAACAATTGTGTATGATTTTTCACCAATTCTGTATACCTGTTATACCTGTCAGTATAACAAATTCTATGGGGTTTGGAAGTGTTATCAGTGAATAACAAATGATATACACACTGACAAATCCTACCGAAACAATCTTCAGACATTCTTCACAAGTTGTGTTGGATTTTATAGTGCAGTCTGTGAAAAGAAGGCAGTTTTAGGGACAAGTCTGACATCAATGTTACAGCTGATTTGAACCATAGTTTAATAAATAAAATCTAAAACATACAGCATTGCTCAGAATTCTATTTTGAGTGAAAATAAAACATATTCTCTTCAAGCAGTTATATAAAATATTCTCCCTGACCTCTTAAAACACCTTTGTTAAGTTTTCTATCATGTGATAACAGGTCACACTCTCTCTGCCTTTACGTCATGATCGGATAAAATTCATAAAAGCATCAACAAAACACGTTTTGAACCAATTTAGTCGTTTACGCTACAAAAGTCTTTCAATAAGTAGCTAACTGTCTATGCGGTCCCGATGTTTTACTGAGCCTGAGTCATATGATCAGCTGCTCTAAGTCACATTTGCAACAGTGGTTATACGTGACTTATTAAGACGTTACAATTTCCAAGAAAATAGACGATGTAGAACGATTAATTCGGGAAAGTGTGCTTGGTAGACAAACGAACTGCAAAAACATAGTCTTCGTTTGAAAACCTGGCAAGCATCATGCGCGCGTACCGAACCTGAAAGCTGATCCCCCAAAAAGATAGTTAAATATGTCTTGAAGTAGCTATTGTTGTTTTACCGTATCTACGGTTAAAAATATTGTAAACAAACAGCACTATGTGTGGCCGAAACTTACTTAAGTAAGTTACGTGAGAAGGCTGGGACGAACGCGCAGAAAATTTCTCTTCCGCAAATACGCTTAATAAAGCCTGAATCTCGTCGTCGGTCCAGCTGCCTTTTTTTATTTTTTATTAAATTCCATATTTGCAGACAGACAACTCTTACTGCATGGAACTTCATTACTGTATGAAGCCACGAACTGTAATAGATTCTAAAAATCCCGGTTAAAATAAAATGCTGCGCAGAGTTATCCATTCATAATGCGGCGTGAACACAACCAATCAGCATGTTCAGCGCACAAGCCCCACCCGCGAAAGTTCCTGAACTTTGAAAAAGTACTACCTCGCGAGCAGGGACTTTCGGAGGGGGAAATATCTACCCGGAACTTCATTTAGACCCTGGTTCCTGCGGTGTAAACACACCGAGTACCAGTCCAAAGTTCCTAGTTCCTGGGTAAAGTTCCTGCGGTGGAAACGCGGCTTTACTTAATTTTCATTTCAGTGTTTCTAACTCAGTGGCTGTAAGTGGGTTAGGAATAGGATTTCAAGTGATTTTGAAAAAATGGTCAAAAAAGAAAATCACATACCCCACCTTTAACGCTGCCTCTTACGTTCGACTTTACAAAGGCGCTGTCCCAAGTGAAGGTGCTGAATTAGCTGGCATCGATTGCTCAGGAATCGATTTTGCACTTCACGCATTACGGTGTTAAGAAAGACAACACTATGCAGTTCTATGCAAATGAAACATTCCTCAAATTATTCCAGTAACATTTATTTTAACATAGTTTAAGTTATCAGTAAAATATAGACTATTAATTAAATTATCAAATTGTCAGTAATATGTTACACGTAGAGCGCGCTCTTAAGAGCTAAAATACATCGTTATGGATGGCCCTGGCCCGTTAAACCCGGCCCTGGTCAGTAATCCATCCCTGGCTAATGCTATACCTAAGTATTCAATATTCTAATAAAATCAACTAATGGAATATTCGCAAATCATTGATCATCCCTACGCAAAATGTGACCAAATACTAATATTGCATTATATTATTGTCATATTGATATTTGAACCGCAATGTTATAATATAAACATGCACATGAAATATCAAAATAAATAAATAGCTCACCCAAAAAAGTAAAAAAAAAAAATGCTGTTAACTCACCCACAGGCAATCAAAGATGTTGGTATTTTTCCAGTCAACGTCGTCCGTTAGAAGTTTTTAAAAAAAAAGCTGACACAGAAATACAACATAATCCCAAATAATTGGTTTTATGAAGCAAAGGATGTGTAGAAAACTGAAAACTGACTGTTTATCTGTGGTTTACTAGTAAAATATTACAGGTAACGTTAATAGGCCTAATGGTGACAATTGTCGTTTATCTTTGAAGTTAACATACTGAGGTAAAAATTACAGAAGTGGCATTGATTTCATACAACAGTTCAATAAACAAGTAATTACTATTAAGTCACTTACATTTTAGATGCAATATTGACTTTTTTTCCGTTTCAGCAGCAACAATCATTCCAAAGATCACAGCAGAACCACGCACCGGAACACGTGTTTTTTGATTAGGCCTACTGAATGATTCATCATTTTGAACGAATCGGTTGAATTAAAGATTCAATGACCCATTTATAAACAACTGCCTCATTCCTGAACAAATCAGCCGTTTTGAACAAATGACTCAATGACTCACTCATTAAGAGGGTCACTTGCCACCTACTGGCAGTTTATAAGTATCATTCTTTCCAAAATTCCTTATGTTTATTCAAAAATAAAATATGAAAATAGCATTTAGCTTTAGCGTCTGTTTAATGTCTCTCTTAAGTGACATGAATGCATTTACACTGAAATTAAAATGTGTGAATCAATGCTTTGAATGTAATTTTACAATTACAATTTTAACAAAATTTTCAATATTTCCTCCCAAACAGCTCAATCTTCACTGGGCCCTGCTGGCCGTCAGTCTGAAGGTAACTGCGCTATAATCACATTTATATTATATTATACTATTATTTATACAATGGTATGTTGGTTTATACAAAATGGGTATTGTTATACAATGATGGTTTTAACAGATATATTGGTGGTTTAGCTCTTGAATTCAATTCCCAGAGCTATTTTTGTGAAGGTTTTTATCTTGTTATTCATTCCAAAGTCCAATGTGATGTTTTAAGATTTTCATAGACTGATTCTTCAGCATTTGAGGAAACTGACTGAGGATGTCAGAGAGCTGCAGTACCAAAACACTGTGAACCACAACCTTCTGCTGCAGCTGACCAGAGGCTCGCAAGAGGACATGGCTCTGCCAGAAGACACTGTGCTGCCTCTTAAGAACAGGCAGATGCTAGAGGAGCTTGAGCATCGGCTCACTAATAGTGTTGAGCTTCAGGAGAAATTGGTAATTTGGCAAAAACATAATTTTTTTAACATGAATCTCATTACAGTTAACCTCAGGGGCTTCACGTAGAAAACTTTGCAGAAAGCCTTAAAGGAGCTGTATGTAAGATTGTGGCCAAAACTGGTACTGCAATCACTTTCAAATTACTGTATAGCGGTGTATCCCCTCCCCCTCCTCCCTGACTCAAGGTTTTGTAACTAGAGCACTACAACACTACTGACTTCGTGATTGGTCGATAGGTGGAGGGTGGAGCATCAGACCAAAACACAACATGACAACATCAACATCAGTTGAGGGCTGCAACTTCACTTTTTAAATGACAATATCCTGGCCGGACTACTGTTGTCAGTGATATAAGTATTTGAAATGAACATGATTTCTTAATGTCTAGTGACATATCAGGGCCATTTTATGATTAATTGAAATACATTTCTTACATACAGCTCCTTTGTGCTTCACACAATACACAAACACAGGAACTTGTGTACATTTTGTTTTTGGATGTTGTATATGGACACAAGTTTTTAGAAATATAAAATCTCATGTGCAAATATTGGTTTAAAAATATCAGTCCTGCCTGTTGTTTATAAATGGCAGTGTTTTACAACGCTAGTACTCATGACAGGAAATTGAGTCATCAGAAACCCAATGTGTTGAATTTGTGCACATTATACTGATTCAAGACCTTGAGAAAATGATAAGTACGTTTTGTCTTTTGTGTTTATACATCAAGCTCTAGATATATTAGACTGTGACTTCATTAAAATAATTAGAGCTCTGTCTATGGGATGAATCAAAATGGAGATTCTGTATTGTATGTGTAGGCCCTATATTATACATGCTTATGAAGTCAAAGATCAATAACTATGGTCAATGTATGTTACAGGTGCGGTTTTTGGCTGCAAAAGGAGGGAAAACTATAAAGGACTCCATTAGAAGGATGCTTCCCTGCATGTTTTCCAATGACCTGTCCAGGCTGTGTAACTGGACAGGCTTGGGACAGAAGATCTCTTTCAGCCAGCTAGCACTGAAAGACATTCTTCACAGTACGTTATTATTATCAGTTATTAAGTTATTATAATTAAATACATTTCTGGAAATACATATTGAGACAATTTTTTACTTTTGAAACATAAAAAAACATAAACCAAATGTAATGTTTCTTTTGACAGGTATAGCCTACTGTGTGTGTGTGTGTGTGTGTGTGTGTGTGTGTGTATATATATATATATATATATATATATATATACACACACACACAGTCTATGTATGTATATGTATGAAGAAAGGCAAATGATGCAACAAACTAATGCCAAGTTTTCTGTTATTTCAGGAGCGATAAGAAAGAACCCTGCTACAAGAGAGACAACAGAAGGGAGCCTCCAAGAAGTGGTTTCGAAATTTTTAAAGGGAGCTGCTGACAGAGAAGGGGGCAGGAAACAACGGCAGGAAAACTGAAGGGGCTCAAATATATATTGTTTATTTATAGTATAGTAATCTTATGATCATATGTATCCTGTTATATATTACAATATTATTATATTATATAGGCCTATATATTATATATGTATAATATATATTATATATGTCATATATATATATATATATATATATATATATATATATATATATGTATAGTAAAGTGTTATTATTATAAACAATATTGTTTATAAGACATATTTATATTTTAACAAAAGTACATATTTTGAATATTTATCATAATGGTTATAGTTAGTTATTTTATGTTTATTTCCATGTGTTCAGTTTGAGTATGTTCAATCCATTTGTGTCTTCAATAAAAGTAATATATTTACGATGGTTATTAGCAGTTGTGTACTTTGTTTTTGAGTTGTGTAGCCTACTTTGTTTTTGATTAATTAATTCATAAAATATTAATATTAGCCTAAATTGGATCAATTATAACCATTATAATTATCCAGTAATGAAAAAAAAAAAATCATAATATGACCCGTGGACCGACCGTGGTCCGCCAGAAAACACTCATTATGAACCAGCGGCTCGGTAGCGGACCACCGTCGGGAAAGCGGCGGCTGCCGCTGGTGGTCCGCTAGAATAACGATGAGCAAAACGCCAGGGATCCACCGGCGGCGTCCGCCAGTGGGCCGCCAACTTTGCCACCGGTGGTCCACCACTGGACCGCTGGACTCATGTTAGCTGGGTTGTTACTGGACTTGTCGTCTGAGCAAAAACAACAGCAAAACTGAAGAAAAAGAAAACAAAAGACAGTAAAAAAGTACGAGTTTTGATCATGTTGGCAAACGCAGCGGGTCTGTGTGTTTCAGCCGTGGTTGGTCATGTGTTTTCTGGAAGGAAGGATTGAACCTCGTCTTTTCAAGAACCTCCCAGTTTCGAAATAGTGGTTTATGGTTAAGCAGGGTTTATTCGAGGCACTGATTTATAAGTTTATTTTCTGACAAAATAATTCATTTATTTTTTTAAATGACATGTTGGCTTCTTAAAATTATTCAGACAATTAATACCTAAAACATCAATTATTATTTATCAAAATAAAAATATGTATTTACATACACATTCTGATCTGTTTGTATTTTTTAATGGCTGACGTTTGTAAAATAATACAATAATACAAATAAATAAATATATCTGTCTGTCTCTCTTCTAAATTCAAATTAGCTTTATTGGTATGACTGTAAATAATATTGCCAAAGCTTGGAATACATAGAATAATAATAAGAACATCAAAATAATAAAATATTATAACATAACTTAAATTGAACAAATCAGAACATGTGTGAACATTTGATACCACAGTGTTTTAACCTCTATGGTTTTAACACACACACACACACACACATTACTGAGGGTCACTGTGGTGGACAGTAGGGGAACACAGTGAGGTCAGACACAAACACACATTACACACACATTCATCTGCTGTCTCTCAGGCTGTGGCACATCCACATATCTGGCAGCCAGTGCTGCTGTTTGTCCCTCTCCTAATATCATCTTTATTTGTTCTATTTCGGTCATGGGTGTAAAGTTCTTTATTACGTTAGTGAATTTGTTTAAGTAGAGGTCTCTGATTGAAATGTATTTGTGACAGTGAAGTGTCTCTGACACTCTGGAGATATTCTTCCAATTCATAGTTTGATTTCAGAGTTCGATAGAATTGTAATTTACTTTGTGTTTTAGTTTCCTGATCCCAATGTTCCAGATAGATATATTTTTAGACTGTTTAATAATTTGGTTTATTTTGATGTTTGTGTGAGAAGCAGTGCTGGTCTGAGATGGTTAGTGTTAGTAGAGTTAGTCAGGTTAGTAAGTATAAAGCACTCTACAAAATGCATCCCTGTCTGAATGTGTGCAGTTTATATTTGAAGCAAAGACGTTGTGTCTTCCACTGGAGACTCTAATGGCTCTTCAAGACCCCGATTCCTACTGTGACAACCTCTAACATTCTGATAGAAACATGCGGATAACAGACTATGGCTTCCTGGAGGACCAAACTAAAATGCACAGCAATGCACTTTTTATTTGGCCACACATTTGGGCGGACCCGTCATCTGGGACACTTCACAGCCTTGCTTCATTCTGCAGTGTTTCGTGTCCCATGTATATGCCAGCATCATTGTTCATATATTATATTATAACAGATATGAACTAAAACAAACTCAAAAAATCTCCAAAATATTCTTATTTCAAGGGAATTTTGGAAAAAGGAATGAATGCATGTTGCAGTTGTTTATTATTTTGTATCACACACATTAGATTGTGGAAAAGCGAAGAACAAAGGAAAATGTAAGGTAATTCGATAACATGTAAATAATCCACACCATATCTGGAACTGAAATAATTTATTAAGCATTTTGTAAATCCAGTTACAAAAAAAAACATCCTTTGATTTTCATCCTCTACACAAGCTGAAATATTTTGACTCTAAACTAATGACGATGACTCTGGAATTGAACTGACCAGCAGCTCAACAGATTTATTAATGGAGCAATAATGAACAGAACTTTGAATGAGGTCGTGGTACCTCTGATACCACAGTGTCATCCTTCATTCATACTATCACTGATGTAGTCTGTACACGACATGCCATCAACAAAACATCATCATCCATACAACAACACTAACACTGAATAAATACCCAACCCACCCATAATTATTCACTCTCTTTTAGGCACACAAAATCATCCTTCAGTTATAAGTATGCAGGCTTCCTTTAAAACATTCTTAACCATCTTAGAAAAAAAAATCCAGATGATGTCTTAAAAAAGGTTTGATGTATGAACTAAAATGGATTTTCTTTTCTTGAAAGAATAGATTTACAACTGACCTACTGTGTAAAATACTGTGTGAAAAACTGTTGTTGTTTTTTTTACTGTATTTTTTTTTACAGCTTTTCTGCAAAATAAATATCAGTACAGTGGTATTCGACATATTTCCTGTCAAATCTCTTGTTGCTATAACACCCAGAACACTGCACTGAAATGTTGAGATATTGCTTGTCTTTATACTGTACCTGAGCTTAACCCAGAAGGGGCCATTCACACAGAATGCGTTTTTCTATTGTTTTGTAAACATGCACTAGACGGAAGTGTTTGACCGTTGTGCGTATTTGACCATGGAAACGGTACATTAAAAGCGGGCTCAATTTTTGTGATGGCAGATTATTGCAGAAGTGGAAGCACTTCAAAAAATTGGTGAGTGTCTTCTTTAAAAACAGACCAAACTTTGGTTGGTATGAACCTACAACCATGAACTACAACCATTTATTTTCACATCTGGGCTCAAAAAGGTGAATGACAGTTTCAGTTTGAAGCTTTAAATAAGTCTCTAGTCTAGACCTTGCATTGTTTTTTTATTCCACTGCCCCGCTTATTGCGTTTTTTAAACGCAAATTGACCTAAGGGCCAAGCATATCGATCTAGTGTGTTTACGATGGAAAAGCAGCTCAGTGGAATTCAAAAACACATTTTGTGTGAATGGCCCCTTATGCACAATACATAAGAGAACGCATAGATGAAAATGGCAAGACCAAGGCAGAAAACCTTTTCCTCATTCTTTCAACCCGAGGAACCCGAGTGAAGGTTCAGTAACAGATAAGCAGTAACACAGAAAGCAATCTAAATGACGCAAATCTGCACAGACCAGCCCTTGTGCGGAGTAAGGCAAGTTTTAACATGGCTGTTGACACTTTCAATGTGTGCAATCACTTCAGGCTATGAGTCTTTAAGAGCTCTCAACAAAACACTGTTTTGTTTGTAACATTTAAGACCCTGTTTGGATCTTTTCACTTCAAAGAGTGTTCAAACCTGAAAATGGCCAAAATCAGAAAACCAGAAAGGAGCATGTTAAAGCATTCAGGACTTTGAGGTATTGGCGATGAACATTTGCTGGTTAACTAGCATTGCACCACGTACTAACCGGACGTGATGGGATAAAGGAACAAGTGCTAAACTCAACTGTGATGATTTACAGGACATTCTGTTGAAATCTCATTGGTCCAAAATCCCACTCCACATAACTGTATATTAATCATTAAATATGATACGTTATTAGAGGGGTGGTTGTCTACACATATGCAGATTTTTAAATGATGTTTGTCTTCTCACTGGTTCCTGTATCATCGTCTTATATTCGCCAATCCGCAACCCCGCTGTTAAGCTCTTTTTTCCATCAATGAGAAGGAAATCTCTAGCGTCTTGACTGTGGTTGGTCAGTACTCATCACCTGATCCAGTTGCTCCCAAAGCTGGCCACTGATCTGACGCTGCATCGCTTCTTAACTATCATGTTGATGTAGGCTTTCATTATTTTGGTGATCTCTCCAACCTGAAACAAGCCACAGTTTATACACAGTGAACACTTCTATTCAATTATATGTTGATTATGTATTCTTACAGGATTCTGTCATCATTATTTGCGCCAAAACTCATGACTTATCTTTGAAAACCAAACTTTGAAGATTCAAAATGCTCATGAAGCAATTATTATGAATCAACTACATGCATACAGCGCATTAAATATGGTTAACGGAAGTTCAAACACACTGCATAACAGGCAAAAACAAACATCATTGGTTCTCGCGCATCAAGCAAGTACGTTTGAGATTCTGTTTACCATATTTGATGTGTTGATCAATGTTTATATGTGAATAAAAGTCTACATTAAAGCTGTTTATACAGTTATACAATTCAGAAAACTTGGATTAAAATGAAAAAACTTGATTCATAGATGTAGTTTACTATGTCTTCATGAACTTTATGAAGCATCAACATTTTGGTGTAATGAACTTTTATGAACGAATTTCTCAGGTTTCAATAAAAATATCTTCCTTTGTGTTTTGAAGATGAAGTCTTATGGCTTTGGAACGACATGTGAATGAGTAAATGATGACATCTTTGGGTGAACTATCCATTTAAAATGACATTTGATTACCTGAGGTGTCTCAAAAAACATGTCTCTCCCATCCACTGTGATCTTGTATGTGCTGGCAAGAGGAGCTCCGAAGAAGACAATGTGTTCGTAGGGGAAAGTCTCCAGAGGTTTGACCTCTCCTCTCTTATACACAGACACGTTCTCGGCACTCACGCTCAGCCAGAGGTCATGAGGGAAACCACCTTCTTTACACTGCACACAGAATCACAGCAAATTTCAGATTAGACTATAGAAAAATGATCCAGATACTATCTGGGTGTGAGACAGTAAAGCAACCACCCAGAACATCCTAAGAATACCTTAGCAAATGCATAACACACCATTCACCGTTCACACACCAATCAATTTTTCCTCAAAAAAGCACTAATCTATTTGTTGATAAAGTTCCGTGATGTGAAGGCCAAGTATGGTAACCCATACTAGGAATTTGTCCTCTGCATTTAACCCATCCAAGTTAGTGCACACACATTAGAAGTTACTTATACACACACTTATACACACTCTCTAACCATTAGGACACGACTGCCAATGAGAAATGGATAGCTTGATGAGGAGTTTTAAACCATTTAACTAAATGTAATCATCCAACCCAAAACAAGCTAAATGATATTGCGTTGCTTTTTTCATGGCATGTTTTGTGGCACTTTCAAAGTGAAATGTCCAATCAATGTGAAATGAGTGGCGCTAAAAGCACATCCAGTTTTACTCAAAACAGATGAACGCGAATTTGGAAGTTCAGAAATTAAATGTCTGGTGACTGGCGCTAAAAGGTTAATGCTCTATCACGTTTGAAAATAATGTTCCATCTACTACACTAAACTTAACTGATAGAGGTAATAAAAGCAAACGATAAGATAAAAATGCATTTGCTGAAGCAACCATGCCATTTTAGCTTGCTTCTATAAGTCTTTCGGCTCTTTTATCGCGACTCATGTTTCATGGGTACCCGAGAACTTTGCATTACGAGTGCAATGCTGATTCAGGGGAGCTACCGAGCAAGTTTACAAGAAAAAGTCATCAATATGGAGCTGGTTATGTTAAGTACATGTAAAAATGTACAGATCATGCACTATGTTAAAAGTGCTCTGAGGTCATAGCATAGTATTGTGCAAGGAATCATGCAAAAATAAGTCTTGTGTATTACTTGTGTGAAAAGTAATAAAAGTTTTATTTTAAGGGAATTTTATGTATAGTTACGTTTTTGCATTACAAGATATTCCATCGAACCCATGTTGTAGTCATCTTTTGTTGTAGTCATCCTAAGTGCTTACCTCCACATCAAACAGCGTAGATCCATACCCAGGCCATTCTTTGATGATGTTCATATATTTGAGCATGGCTTGGTGTTGATCCAGACCATGCAGGCGACTCCATTTCTCCATAACACTGGCCCTGGTGGCTGAGGTCTCTTCCTTGATCCACATTTCCAGCATTTGTTCCTCCTGCATACTGCGCTGTTTCTTCATAGTGCCCGTCTTGAGTCCACGCCTCAGCGTGCCGTCCAGGAAGCTCGTCCTCCTCCTTTCTAGGGTCTGTCCCGGTCCAGCTGCTCCTCCTACTTTGGTGAACTGAAGTATGCGGTTGCGCAGACGGCCAGTGGGGTAGACGTTGTCCAAGCTCCAGTTCACCCGAGACACATCCCCAGACAGGTACTGCAGACGTAAAGCAGCCAGGTGCTGAAGGGTGTCCTCGTGGGCAGGAAAGTGACCGCTTATTAAACTTTCATGAGCCTGGAGAGATGAATGAGAACAAAACTCACATCTAACTTTTTTGAAATATGTATAACAAAATGGGGTTGGGTTTGTGCTTCAAAAAAAGAAAAAGATATCTGCCAATGGATTAAGAAAAATAATCTTAATTAAAGTTTACGGCTTAATTTTTTTTTATTCCACTGGCAGGTTGTTTTCAGTGCTGGGTAGTAACTGATTACATAATCATAATCTGGATTACATAATCAGATTGGAAAAATTAAGTACTTTTAAATTGAACTCACAAACCCCCTGCAGTTCCATCACAAACCCCAGTCTGGGAAACCCTGATGTAATGTAATGTGTAATGCATTTCATGTTGTTGACAACAAAGAATGGAATATATTTTCTTTCTCTTTATATTTTTATATCAATATGGTACAAGATTATCCTATTCAAATCAATGTGATAAACGAGTTTGGTCAAAAGTAATCTAAAAGTAATCAAAAAGAAGTCAGATTATATTATCTTAAATGTGTAATTTAATAAATTACATCCCTTACGACAATTTTTGTCATGTAATTTTGAATCAGTAAACGACTACAATTTGTAAGTAATCTACCCAGCTCTGGTTGTTTTAAGCACAAACTCACCTAATTTGATACATTTCTAAGAAAATAAGATAATATCTTGTGTCATTTGCTTCTCAATTTAATATATCTTGATTTAGGAATGTTTAAGAATGTTTCTCATAAAGCTGAAATAAAAATAAAATAAATATTAGACTTTCTTCAACTATAAGATAAACTTAATTTTTTGTCAATAACAAAAGAAAATAAAAACTAAACATTTAAACTAAATTTAAACTGAAAACATAAAAAAAAAAATCTAAATCTGCCTTTGAGATGATAAAAGGTCAACATTAGTTAGTTTAGGTAGTTTCTCCAGGTATTACACACACCTCCTCAATTAGTTTGAACAGAACAGAGGCAAAAAGTGAAACTATAAATAACTGACCTGCTCAAACATGAAGACAAACTCCACTCCTTCCTTGGGCATGCTCTCCACATCTAAGAAACAATACAGTTTGAAGTACAGCTTCCATGGGCCGTCTTCCTCCACCTCACTTCCTGCCAGCCTGAGAAACAACCACCACAACAAACACTCATTTTTGTGTGATACTTCTTTAAATACATTATTTCACATTGGTTTTATGGATGTTATTAATGCATTACTGCTTTAATAACTAAGTGATGACACATACGCTTGGCAGTGTTTTGTAGGAACTGAGTTTAATTTCTGAGTGAATAGGTGCAGCAAATTTGAGGTGTAATTTTACCTCTCAAACTTGGCCAGCACATCGGCCACAATCACCCTGCTCTCCACGGCCCGGTCGATCGTGCTGTTGTGCTCGAACAAAGCAAACATGTTCCTGCTGTCCTCCATAGCCAAGCCTCGGATCAGTTTCTCTACCACCTACACACAGAAAAGAAATGAAACACTTCACCATCAGAATATTACACCATAAAGATACACACGCAATCCTGATTAAGAGGAATATTTGTTCATCCACACTGTTTTCAGGTCGTTGTAAGGCACAGGAAGACTTTTCCCCATCAATTGCCAGAGCCAAAAATGTTTTATCACCGTTTGTTTTATACTTGTGTTACAGTTACAGTGGTTTAATTCTGAATCAACTAATATCTAATTACTCTCTTAAAACACTAGGTCATTGCATTGCAGTGTTTTTGCAGTTTGGCTGTGCTTTGCAGGCTGTTAGCATCCCTCACCTCTCCTGCTGTAGTGTGAGAGTTGATCGAAATCTTGCAGGAACCTCCACCATGGCAGTAAACCGTCGTCGTCATCTCCCGTCTGTTCAGGAGGGCGATAATCTCGTCTTGTGAAGGCACAAACTCCCGCGCTTTTGTCTTCTTCAGCGACTCGCCAATGAACACAGCAAACATCTCAATTTCTGTTCCAGGGAACAGCTCCTTTATCCTAAGAAGTGATCGATATCAGCAAATATTAATGTCACCAAATACAAAATATGATGTGGTCAGAATGTCCTTAAGGTAAAAAACTAAATTTTTGAGATCCTTTTGTTATTAAACAGATACACCAAATAGCAAGTAGTGCAAAGTGATTTTTAGGAGGATGCAATGAATTTGATTATTTTGGCTGAGGTACAAAGGCTTAGGCCAGAATGTTATTTCTACCATTTCCTCAATTTTCTTCTCAAAGTGCATCACAAACCTTAATATACTGTATGTATATTAGAACACTAAATTTCATTGGAAAATGACATCTATTATTTAACAGTATGAAAGTATCATGTCATTTTCAAGGACTAGCTACAACACCTTTTCAGGTGGAATCTGAGGTATCTGAGGATGCCACGGCTGGGCAGAAAGGTGCAGCTCATGCAGGTGAGCAGATGCCAGTGTGACCGGTTGGCGGGGCTGTTGGGCTGAGGCACGTGATTGGTTTGTTTGATCAGCTGACAGTAGACTTCATCTCTGAGCGGCCGCAGATCTTGACATGTCTGTAAGATGCCTTGAATGATGGGCATTGGGTCTGACACAGCTTCCATCTCCTGTAATGAGTTAAAGATCTTGACCGCCTCGTCTTGCAGGCTGGTGTAGCCTTTCTCCTTTTGCACTACAGGAAGAGGAGACAGATGGAGAAAGAGACACAGACACAGACAAAGGGATTAAATCCATCATCACACAAATCCAAAGTTCAAATGGTAAAAATGTGCGTCACTGAACAAATTAATCAACAACAATCCAACAATAGGGTCAAAATATATGAACCGTGTGAACAGGAGACTGCGGTTTGAATCGAATATTTAACGGGTCTAGGTTTTAATAAATGTTAAGCTCTATTAAACGGCCTGCTGTCAATTCCCACAGAAAATACTTTTGTCTATCAGTTTGTAAAACATGCAATGATATAATAAAAAAAAAAACATATTAAGCATTTTTCTAAATTCTTGGATAATTACTATACATGCATCTTTTATGCCCTTCAATGAAAAACTTGCAATTTATTTTATTTAAAAAATACATATATGAAAAATTCTATCCAAAATTACTTTTTTAATATTTGTCATTTTAATATTTTAAAATTAATTGGTCACACTGTAGAATTTTTATTTGTATGTATTAATGTAAGTGTTTTAAAACAGTCTTTTGCATGAAATTTCTGGAATGTGTATAGGCTATATGTGTGTATATATATATGTGTATATATGTGTATATTTTTTGTTCATAGACAAAAAAAAAAAAAAACTTTTTCTGTGGTAATCAACAGCATGTCACAAATTGTAAAAAAAAGCCAGCACATGAATTTAACAATAGTAATACTAACAATAGAAGTAGTATTGTCTACAGTGTTATTTTAAAACTATTTATATACTATTATAGTATATAATAATTTTAATTTTAAGTTATAGTAATTGTATAATCTCTTTTGTCTTTTTTAAATATTTCTATAAGTTTTAACTTATTTTTATTTCAGTTTTAGTAATTTTAATAATTTTTTGAAGTTAGTTGACAAGACATCCATTTCTAAAGTTTTTCATCTAATATTTATATTTTATTTTATTTGACCTTTATTTCATTTAAAATTTAAACTTGCATTTATACATTTTGCAGATGCTTTAATTAGTTTATGAGCTACAGGAATGCAGCTCAAACAGCAATATTTTAAGTTTGAGTCAACAATAACACAGATTGTCTACAACTAAAGACATTTAATAAATAAAATAAGGAAACACAGGAATGGATCAGTGTAAAGGAGAGACTCACAGTTGACATTGACCTCTCCGTATGGTAGAGGCAGCAGCGGCGAGTGCAGCGGGTGCTGTGTGTATCTCAGGATGGGGTTCCTCCAGTACATCTGCTCCACAGCCTCCACATTAAGACTGCTCTCCTGCACCACCATCAACAACAACAATGGCATTAGGGCTTTGATGTACTCATATAACACAATGTACATCCACAGATCACTGCAGGTGGAAACACAGCACACAAAAGCGACACAAAAGGTTTTTGAGTTTTGCCGTTTTCGCCATGCTTGATAAACTAGGTTGTACCAGTCAAAGGTGGTAAACCAGTTCAAGCTTAAATTACAACCTCAACATAATTAACCACCTCAGGTCGACTAGCTGAAAAGGTGGATCTCAACTAGCTAGCAGTCTCAACTAGCTAGCATAACTGACATTTAAAACTAGTTATCAAAATCTGGTGTTATCTGGATTTCTAGCAGAATAAAGCTGCACTCAAGTGAATACTACTCACTTTATAACCGAGATTCACCTGTCACTGTACATTTTTTCTCAAGAAATAAATTGATCATCATAACTGCCATTGAATATTAAACACACTTTTACAATGGCACTGGTAACTGAACTTTTCTTTTGAGCCTCCACGCCACTAGGTGTCAGTATGGTGTCCAGCACATCATAAACCAAAATGACTGAGTACACCGTTAACAATTCAAAATCACTATAGGAAAATATCCTGCATAGATGTAGAACGAAAGCACTCAGAAATAATCAAACAAAAACAGAATGAAGTTAGAAAAAACAAGAGAAAACAGTCTGAGTGAACAGCACACTCATCCGTGTACCTCACTTAACACTACAGTTTTTGACCCTGAGGGATTGCCGGGGCTTCAGAGGTATCGGCTTCCACAACTGAAACACGATTGTTAATAAGATGAAAAACCTCACTCTACAAGGGACCATGAATTCAATTCGATATTTTAGGGTGAATGTACCTTGATATCTCGGATGAGTTGCTGGGTAGGTGTTTCTATGGGAACTTTGTTGTCGATGGCCACCTGAATGGCTGAAGCCCATCTCATGGCTTCATTCAGCAGTTTGGTGTAGAGACGGTAAGAATGCTTTCTCCCATGGATTATTATGTTCCAGTAACCTGTGGACAACCGGTGGCATTGGAAATTGTCTAACGAAAATTCAAAGAACTCAGAAAAATCAGAAACCTTGTTCTCTCACCTGTCTCCTTGTAGACTTTTTCATCAGGCTGAACAACCGAGCAAAGGCTGTTGAGCACCAGTGTTCCCAGTTTGGAGGCACTGCGCTCTGATGATTTATAATAATCCAGTGAGTTGTTAGTCAGAACAAACCAACGTTTCTTCAGCTTGAGAGACGTGCTCTTCCCACTGGACTTCATCTCTTTATGCAGCCAACCTTATGGAAAAATTGAGGGAGGAAGAAATTACAATCACTTAGACTAGAGTATGAGAAGATTAAGATTAAAAGTGTGTATTTTAGTGACTATAAAATTATGATTTAATGAATAGTCAATAGTTATAGATTAGTTTATCATTTCAAAAAAGGAAAATATAATGGAGTTGACATTCATTTTATTAGGTATTTTAATAATATAACAACTGAAATCTACAGATATCTATAGTATATTACAAAAATAGAGAGAATTAACACAAAATGCAATTTTCATTTAAACATGTACTGTATATTTGCAAACCAAAGAACAAAAAGTTGAAAAAGTGGATTTTTTGCTGGTGCATTTTAAAAAAAGTATATAGAAACACATAGCGAAAGTTAGCACCATGATTCATTGTTTACAGAATTGTTTTTTACACAAATGTACAGTATACACTACCATTCAAACATTTGGTCAGTAAGACTTTTTTGTTTTTGAAAGCTGCATTTTGCATGTTGGCTGCATTTATTTGATCAAAAATATGATAAAATATATAACTAAAATATATAAATAGAATTTAAATGCTTTTTTAAATAATATTTTAAAATGTATTTTATTCCTGTGATGTCAAAGCTGAATTTTCAGCATCATTCCTCCAGTCTTCAGTGTCACATGATCCTTCAGAAATCACTCTAATATGCTGTTTTGCTGCTTAAAAATAATTTCTTATTATTATCAATGTTGAGAACAGAAACCGTGATCAATTTTTGATGTACAAAAAGTTAAAAAGACATTTTTTTTATAGTAAGGGCATTCATATTGTTGAAAAAGATTTTTGTCACTTTGGATCCTTGCAGAATAAAAGTATTCATTTCTTTCTTTCAAAAATCTTAAGTGATCCCAAAGTTTTAAACAGTAGTGTATAAAGGAGACAAATAGCATCCGTTTTGCTGAATGATTCATCATGACCACAATGATGTAGCAAGTACAGTGCTGGTAAACCCTGTACAGACCGGTCTGACTCACCCCTCACTATGAACTCCTGGCCGTCTATTTTCGAGTCTCCTTTAGGCTTCTGGAGGAGGCCGATCCAGTGGTGCATTTCCTCTGGTGTGTCAGTGTTGCAATGGATCACGCGATTAGCAGTGATTATAACAAATGAGTTTGGCCTGAGGGAAAAAAAATCTTATGAGTACAGCACTTAACCATTATCACAAATACTATTTAAAACAAAATTAAATGTTCCCAATTAATACATTAAATGCATGCAATATGGACGATATAAAAAATATGGTCACACTTTATATTAGGTGTCTTAAACTACTATGTACTTATATAAAATAAATTGTTCGGTACACTTTTGCTGCTATTGAGATGTGATACGGGTAAGTTTAGGGACAGGTTTGATGGTATGGTTACGTGTAAGGGTGGGTTAAGGGGTAAGGGAAGGGTGCAATGCAATGTAAAAACAGTACAATGTAAAAACATGTATGTACACAATAAGTGCATTGCATCAAATGATTAATCTAAATGTTAGTTCATAGTAGTTAAAGACCCTTAATATAAAGTGGGACTGAAAATATTCTGTTTCTGGAATAATGCTATAGGCTCAACACTCGTGATATCATGCATTACCTGTCTGGATTGTCGGAAGCACATACAGAGTCGATAAGCCCAACATCCAGTGTTCCCTGAGGATGAAATATCATAAAAATGACATATAAATACCATATTCTATGACAAATAAAGGTGCTGAAAGTGTTAGATTAGTGTGAACACTCACAACTGCGTTCTTGGGGTTGGCCTGCTCGTGCTGCATCTGCAGAAGCTGTTCTGGAGTGGCACTGTGGACGCGGCTCAGCACGTTGAACCAGCCACTGCAACACAAGCATGCAGACAGGAAGCATTAGACCATGTTAGGTTTTAGACGACAATATGAAATGAGTTATATTACACCACAAGGGGGCACAACAGATGAATATGAAAGTTAACACGCACTGAAGAAACTCTATTAGTCAGGCACACTGGCCTAAAATAAATACAGATTTTGAAATGTACCTTGCATCCTCGGGGGATTCTGCATAGATCTGGTAAGTCCTGTCCTCGGTCACGATATTCAGCGCATTCTCCTTCTCATGGTTGTCCACAATCTCCCTACGTGAAACACCACAGACTATCAGTCTATGAACTTACAAATGCAACAGTAGTGGTGGACACTGGACTGGTCAATTGGTCTTTTGCTGGTAAACACTAGGCAGACAGCCAGTTGCAGCAGTTAAGTATTGTCATTTACATCGCGCACAGAGTTCTTACTTGGCAGCTCTGATGTCGATGGTTCCCTTCAGTTTCTCCTCACTGTCGTTCTCGAAATACATGAGTTTAGAGTCTCGAAGGACGAACCAGCGCATCTTCCAGTTCCTGCGGGACAGAGTGGACATCCCTCCACCTTTCTTGTACAGCCAGCCTGACTTGAGAGAGTCCTGCTTTGCCCTGAACCACATGAAGGTCTCGTCTTTTAAAACACACCAGCGCCTGCGCCACGGGATCATCAGCCCACCTTTAAGATGAAAAATAAGAAACAGAACAACAAAATATTAATCTTTCACTACAGTCTATCCATTAAAAATGTTCAGTTTGAGCAATATTATTAATTGGTATAGACATAAGCTAAACAATAAGCAAGTAAATGGTAAGAAACACTCACTTTTCATGTACAGGTAGCTGTGGAAATAAGGAGGTCCACTTCCATTAAGCAGATGCACTCTACCGTTTGACACCTCCTCATCTGTGTCCACATATCCATCGTTCTCATCATTGCTGTCCATGAACTGAGAAAAAAAAAAAGAGTCAATAAAGGGCTTTCAAATGTACAGTTCAAAAGTTTGTGGTCTGTTTTTTTTTTATGAAAAAAATATATACTTTAATTCAGCAAGGATGGATTAAATTAATAAAAGTGACAGTAAGGCATTTCATTAAATTTCATTAAAACATCTTGAAATGGTTCCACAAAATATATAAAGCAGCACAACTAATAATAATGTTGATAATTTTACATTGATAATACTAAGATAATATTATTATTATCAACATCGATTTCTGAAGGATCATGTGACACTGAAGACACTGAAAATTCAGCCTTGCCATCAGGAATAAATGCCATTTAAAAAAATACTAAAATAGAAAACAGTTCTTTTAAATGGTATTAATATTTCACAATATTACTATGTTTTGCTTAACTAAACGCAGCCTTTTGTGGAGCATAACTTCTTTTAAAAACATTTGCATGTTTTTACTAAAATGTCTCTTCTTTACTCTGTAACCGAGCACTTTGTGTTTGCTGCGGTAGGACATCTGCATTTCACTGTCTAATGCTACTAGTTAATACAAACAAAAAGAGCATGACATCAGTAAATGTGCTCCCATTGTTAACTGTCATGTCAAGTTTCATATTACACCCAAACATAACCCGAATCAAGTTTCTGTGTTCAAATATTCTCTGAGAGTCAACATTCAAGCTGTTGCAGGACTGTGTTTGGAGCAGTTGTGACAGGCATTGGCTAATAGTTCCACATTCTGGGAATACCCTGAGGGACAAAGACTTAATAAATATACCAAATCATATGCACCTGATCCGAGAAAAAGAATTGCAACGATAAAAAGAATTACGGCAACGTGCTGAGTGTTTCTGTTTTGCTTTAAGCAATACCGGATCTCACTACCCTGACACTGAACTGTACAGTATAAACATGACGAAATGTATATTCCTTTCATGCCAAATTCCTTACAAGGCGTTCACACTTTGCAGTGAAAATTCAACTGGAAGTCGCTCATTTTTAAATGACAGGCGACGTGAGTGACAGTGACAGTGACCAAAGATTAGCAAACTTTATGCAAATGTTTAGTGACTGTTAATGGAAGTATGCAGTGAAACTCTCAGGTTGACCAGCTGAAACCGCAACTGAGTAGAAACACTACAACAAACAACGGATGGGTCTGTAGGTCAACTAGTTGTCCATACTGGTTGGTTAAGATCCATATTTTTTAGCAGCAGTCCTTTAAGTGGGATGAATTAATAGATGTGAATTCTCCAAGAGGGTTGTGATGTGCTGACAATGTGATGAAACTGTAAACATACTGAGATGTTGTCTCTAAAGTCATGCCCTTTAAAGCACCGCCTCTATGGCAACCCAAGCAGTGACTTTGTAATAAAGTAGACTGACTCAACATCAAAGAGAACTTAATTACTTAACTCTGACCTTACAATATATACGGCTAAAAGCAATAAATGGTTTAACATTATACATTATGTAATTTTACAGTAAAATGGTGTCAAATTTATGGTTTTGGCAAGTAAAAAATGTCTAAATTACCATATGAATTACAATGAGAAAAAGTAAAAGGACATTCTCAGAAGTCCATGTGTGACATCACATATGATGACATTTCTTATAAATTTCTTCTTATTTTTGTTCTTGGTAACTAAATAACAGGAAATGAAACACAAAATGCCCTAATGTTACATTTTCTGTTATTAGTTGTTGCATTGTTTTAGTGTCATGGTGTTTTGCCTGTGTGTATGACCCTGTGCAACGTCTATATACATGAGCATTGGCCATGTTTTATGGACAGGCCACTTACTATGACTTCTGATTCATCTTGTGTTTTTTGTTTTATCACTTGTATTATTATGGTGGTCATCAGTACATTTTAAGGCAAATTTATAGTTATAAGTTATAAAATATACATACAGCAATATACCATTCCGCAATACCAAAACATTGTCATCGCATTTATTACGCTGAATTTCAACAAAAGCTGTCGTTTTTGTACCGTAAATCTAGAGATATTCTTTACAGTGTAGGTCTCCATTCATTGTGAGAACAATGACCATTTTGTGATATAAAATGCTTAAAACACTGATTTTTTTTATTATGTTAGCCATGAACGGCCCATATGAAACTCATCTGATCTGGTCATGATCCTCAATCAGCCTAATTATTCAAACTTCAAGATCAACTAGTTGATTAGTTTTCCAGACAACCCATTAACTAGTTAGTTCACCCCATCATTTAATCACCATTATCCAATTCCAAACCTGTATGACTTACTTTCTTCTGTGGAACATAAAAGAAGACATTTTGAAGAATGTCGGTAACTAAACAGTTTTGGTTTCTATGGACTTCCATGGTATTTTTTGTCCATACAATGGAAGTCAATGGGAACCAAAACGTTTAGTTACCATTATTCTTCAAAATATCTTATTTCATGTTCTACAGAAGCAAGCAATTCATACAGCTTTAGAACGACATGAGGGTGATTTTTGGGAGGGCTATCCCTTTAAAATTGTGTGTGATTTCCAGTTTTCTGTTTAAGTGTGAAAAGACTGCACTCACTGAGTCTGAGCTTCCCCTAAAGGAGTCTGTGCTGTTGTAGGTACAGGAAGATTTGCGTAGCACTTCCTCATCAGTGAGGTGTCCATCATTTGTACTTCCTGCATCCCCACAGCTTCCCAATGCCTCCTCAAACTCCTCTTGGTCATAGTCTGACTCCGTGTCGGGCACAATACTGAAGCTGGTCTCCTCCACCGGCAGCACAATCTCTGTTAACACCTTCCTGTTTTTATACACCAATCCATAGTCTTCTTTGGTTGGTGCCGGTACAGGTGGGGGAGGGGGTGGAGCTAAAGGTGGAGGTGGGGGTGGAGCTGAAGATGGAGGCGGGGGAATGTCTGAAAGTCTGTTTTGTTTGATGGAGGAATTGGATTTCGGCCGCTCCATCCGCGCAGGTGAGGTAGTGGCCATAAGACCTTCGGCAAAGGCGGGCGGTGGAGGCGGAAGACTGGAGAGAATCTCTTTGTCCTGAGGCATGGCAGGCGGGGGAGGGAAGTCCCGGAGGGGAATACACTCGTCGTCCGCGTGGAAGCCTTCGTCCACCTCCTCCTCGGCCAGAGGCGCGGTTGTCTCAGAGGGGTCGTGAAGGTTCTCCTCGCTGGAGAGCGACTGCTCCAAGCCTCCGAAGTCCAGCATCTCCAGGAACTCCGTAGCCACACGTGAAGCCTCTTTCTCCAGGCGGTAGATCTCGGCGTCCCTCTTCTGCTGCAGATCGTCTCTGGAGCCGTCGTTTAGCAAGGACACCCCTTCGTCTCTCTGTCTCTGCAGCCGCTCAATCTCTCGCTCCAACCGCAGAATCTCCTCCATCTGACGACTCTCCTCTTCAGATGAGTACTGACACAGGCTGTGGGACACGTCCTTCTGGAATATGGTGGAGGGATAGTGATGATATACACCAGTAATATACAGTTCATTCTGTCCATTCAGCATTTTTATTCCATGGAACTCGTTTTGGTATTATGTAAACATCACGGTACATGAATATGGTAAGCATTCTGGTATATGGGTCAATGACATATAAGAGTATTCATGATAAGCTATAAAAAATATTTTGAAAATCAATTTTAAAACAAGTTTGAAAAACTTGTTTCAATTTAATGTCATGTAGTGTGACTATATTTTGTTTCCTTATGTGTTACACACATGCTGGTGTAGACATCTTTATTATTTTCAAAAAGTTTTAAAATATATTTTTCAAGGTAAAAAGTTTTCTAAAAAATGTTTTAGAAATAATTCATTTGATCCATAAATATCACTACATTTTTTGGGAGTTGCACCACATGACCTGAACTAACTTCGCAATGTCCTAAAAATGTCAGATTATCTGATATTTTGTTTGTGATATATATATGGTGTTAAATCTAATTTATAACAAAACAAATATATAATATAATTATTATAAATATAAATGGTTTGAATCATATAAATATTAATAAGCAGTGAAGCATGTTAGTTACAACCTACTTAAGGTTTTCAAGAGGCCTTTTTGACCCATATAGAACAGTATCATGTAATTGCCAAAGACTTTCTGTAAAAGACAGAGAATTAGGCCAAATACAAGAGATATATCCTTTCCAGATTTGAAATCTCTCCCATAGGAATATAAAATCAAATCTAATAGAAATAATACCTTGTGGTTGTGATGATTTTTCCCCACTAAACTCCTAATATGAGAAAAAAACAGGAGAGAATCCTTTTAGACAGAGTAGATTAAGAGCACAGCCAACACAGATTTTGGTTGACCTAAATTAAAATTCAAACATTTGCCCAGATTGTGTTTTACCTGCTGTGCCCTGCCTCTCTGTCCTCCAGTATCTGTTTGCTCTTGAGTTCTTCCTGCCTCCTGTTCAACTCTTCCTCTTCCTGCTGTATCCTTAAAGCCTCCCGTTCCTCCTCTTCTTGAAGCCTCTGTCTCTCCTCCTCCTCTCTCTTCCTTTCCTCCTCTTGTCTTCGTCTCTCTTCCTCAAGTCTCCTCAGCTCCTCTAGACGTCTCCTCTCTTCTTCCTCTCTTCTGATTCTCTCCTCCTCTTCTCTCCTCTGTTTTTCCTCCAAGAGCTGGCGACAGAGTTGCCGAGCGATCTGTCCGCGGAGGTGTTTCTGGAGGACCACGGCAGCAGAGCGGAAGCGCAGGAAAGCTTGTCTCCAGAAGTGAGCGCGGTAGTTCTTTTGGATTGTGATGGTGCTGGTCCGGACTTTTTTATAGTGTTTTCTGTGACAAGAAGGATTACAACATTAGAGAGCAAGCCCTCAAGGATTTTCAATAATGATTAGTTTACAGGGACATTATAATAATTATAGCAATTACTCTATATAATAACTCTGTCATTAATACATCAGTAACTCATTTAAAAAGCAATTAGCCACACAATTCAAAATATTCAGAGTTTCAATCACAAATATGAAAGACGGTTATTAATATAAAATACTCATGGCTATTTAGTTGTCTGTCATAATAAAAGATCTGTGTTTGATCTGTTTGAGTAGCTGTGCCACAGTTCTCATACATTTAGACCAGGCCACCTAAATCAGAAAAATCTCATATCTGACCTGCAATGCTGGACTGAGAGTCTCTAAGTGTGTTTATGTGCGAATTTGTGGGTGTTGAACTTTATGCAAAATTAAGGCGAAACAGAGACTTCATCAAACCCATAAATAACATCAGTACAGAGGTGTATATGTACAGACACTAATCGCCCAGGAACAAACATAGTGTCTCAACAGACACTTTACACAAAACAGATGTTGATATTTTGACATCTGTCATGTTTGATTTACTATGGCATCAGAGTACACTCTTTAAAAAAGGTTCTATATAGAACCCTAGGGGTTCTTGACTCAATTTTATAGAACCCTTTATGCCAAAGAGGTTCTATATAAGGAGAAATGTCTTAAATTATATCATATTACTTTCATGTTTAACAGGTTATTTTTTTTGTACAGATAACGTACAATAAACCATGTACAGTATGCACAGTATGCATGTACAATAAACCAACATAAAATCCCTGATCATGCTAACTACTCTCAAAACTGGCAAAAACCTGACTGATTTATGAATAAACTGCATGTAAATGTATTTACCTGTGTGTGTAGTGCTTACTGTTCAGTATTTGCAGTGAAAAGACACTCTTGATTACTTTTCATTAGTTTCCCTGCACTTTTCATAATGAATCTAACCCACTTGGTTAAATTTGCACTCAATGCATTGATTCACAACGCTCTGGTAAATCATTCCGTGATGCAACTTTCAACTCATTCATAAATTTGATTATGGCAATCCATCCACTCAACTCAATAAAAAGTAACAGAAGTCACAACGGCAGTCTTTGGCAACTCACACGGCCCCATTTAACAAAGCGTGTTTATGCACAAACACACACAAAGCTGCACTAACCTTGCCACATAACTTAGTATGTGGGCCCGGATCACCATACCAGCCGCTGTGCGCACCTCCTCTCTTTCCTTCTCCAGCCTCTGCTCCAGAGCTTCCTTCAGGAACACCTGCACGGTACCAAAGAAGAAAGACAAGGAGAGGGAGAGGGAAGAGGGCAGGTTTAGGTTAACTGACTGTTAATTCTCTCCAGACGGCGTGAGCACGTCTCCAAGTGTTCTCAGCAGGCTACAGGCTACAGGGAGCTGAGCTGTGGAGCTCTGCCATTGTGCTGAAACCACAGCGCTCTGATTTCCTGTTACTGCTGCTTCTCGGACTATTCCAGACAGACTGACGTGCATGGACAGAGAGAGAGAGAGAGAGAGAGAGAGAGAGAGAGAGAGAGAGAGAGAGAGAGGAGGGGGAAAGAGTGGCTCTCGGCCAAAGAGCAGGCCACACCCTCACTCTCTCTCTAAAAGACAAGAGACATGAAAGCTTAACCCTTTACTCACAGATGTTGACTCATAGAAGACAAACCTCAGGAACACAGTTGAAGAAAAGGTGAAGTTCTGCATAATAAATGGTATCAATATATCTATAAATTATGTAAAAGAATGTGCCAAAGAGTAATGGACTAGCCCCTTGACTGAGCCTGGTTCCTCCAAAGATTTTTTTCTTTCTCAATTTCTGTCATCTGATGGAGTTTGAGTTCCTTGCCACTGTCGCCTGTGTCTCGCTTAGTTGTGGTTTAGAAGACACTTAGTATTCTGTAATATTATTTATGTGACACTGACACTATTGGATAGGGACAAACATTTTACAGAATTGAGCTGAATGATGACACTTGTGTTCTGTACAGCTGTCTTATATCAGAATCAAATTCATTTCATAATTGATGATTTTTGCAGCATTGACACTGTTATTGAACTGAACTGAATCAACACTGAACTGAATTGTGTTTTTAGAGCTGCTTTACAACACCATTTGAATTAGTCCCATATTTGCCATATTTGATGACGTTTGTATCATTGACTGTCATTTTCCTGTACTGTGGAGCTGTTTTACAACAATCTGAATTGTATAAATCTTGTTTCTGGAGATCCACCTATCTGCAGAGTTCAGATCCAACCCTGATCCAACACACCTGTCTATAATTATCATGGTTCGGTTGTGTTTGATCAGGGTTGGAGCTGAACTTTGCAGATAGGTAGATCTCCAGGAACCGGATTGGGCACCCCTGGTACAAATAAAGGTGACTTGACCTGACACTAAAAGGTGCATTCAATGCTTTGATGCTAATTTAAAAGTTTTACACATTATGAAATAAATAGTTTTTTAGAAAAGAGTCATCTGTCACACAACAAGACGACTGTGAAGTGTTTTGTATGGTGTGCGTTGCCCTCCTCAATGTATATCACCATGTTCAAATGATGTGGCCCTAGTTTTAACTCGACCTCATTCTCATTGTCTGCCAACTCTGTGTAGACTACAGATGCAGATGTAGCATTGTGTTGCTTGGTGATGTGAAGAGCGAAAATTAGACACTGAAACACACTTAATACAATGTTTTGCCAGCCGAGACAACAGAAGAATCAGTACGTGCACGGATAAAGAACCGAAATGAGCTGAAACCAGAAGACCGAAAGACCAACGAAGAAAAAAAAAAATGAGCGTAAACATTGATACAGCGCACAAGATGGAAATATTTGATAACGGAGAAAATTCTACTAAAGGCCAAGTTGCTTCTTTTTTTGTTGTTGTGCAGGTGAGGGGATTAATTATTGACGCTCTCTAAAACTCACTAGTATCAGTGTAATTTACATAAAACTCAAAACTCAATCATGCTGATCCATGTCAACAGATGGCAGAGCAGCATCTAACACCATTGTGTTATCAGTACACAAAAGAACAGCAATGCTAATGCTAGCTAAACAAATACTGACTGCATCTTAAAAGAAATATAAAACAAACACACTAAGCAAAACATTCTACAAAAATATGACCGATAAATAACTTTACAAAATAGATATATTGCTTAAACAAAAACTGCTTCTATGTACCGTCAAATAGCGTATTTGATGAGTAACTTATCGACTATAGTGTTCATGTATGTATTATGAAAATAAAACCGGACGTACATTATCCTCCACGTTGGCACTGTCATATGACCTACAGTGGCAGTCGCTGTTCTCTGCCATTTATGAATATGACAACTCCTCTCTTGGTATAGTAAAGTGTCTAACCTCCAGTTAAAAAGTATGGGGTCAGTAAGATTCTTTTAATGTTTTTGAAAGAAGTCTCTTATCCTCACCAAAGTTGCAAATATTTGATCAAAAATAGAGTAAAAACACTAATATTGTGAAATATTATTGCAATTTAAATTAACTGTTTTCTTTTGGAATATATTTTAAAATGTAAGTTATTCCTGTGATGGCAAAGCTGCATTTTCAGTATCATTACTCCAGTCTTCAGTGTCACATGATCCAATATTGAAAACAGTTGTGCACCTTAATATTTTTATGGCAACTATGATTATAACAACATGAATTTCCATGCTACTATCGGTATTGATAAAGCTTAAAACTTGAGCTGAGATTTAGCTGGTCATAGCATGGTGGTGGAGCTGGCTGCCCAAGGACATCATACTTGTTAAGTTAGTGAAGAAGCAGCATCCAATACATCATATGCTGATACTAGTCTGTATATGGGGGTATTACCATTAACAGAATCAGGTCCTTTCAATTAACATCAACACTTACACACGGTGTCACGTCTGGCCTCCCACAGATTTAAGCCCATTGTGAGATTTCCTGGAACCGACGACCCAGATGTTCCTGTAATCACGACGCACAGCTGCAGACGCACACACAGGAGGAAGTTTCCTCGTCCACATCCTTCCCCCCATCCCACGCAAAGAAAAAACCTGAGCCCCGATTCTAGGGATCGCACTTCCTCAACACACAATCAGCACGGATATAATTACACACAAGTTGTTTTGTTTCGAGCAAGGAAACACAATCCCAGACCCCTTTCTTGATCTTGCACCCCTCCCCTCACCTCCACCTCAAATCTGACACTCACAAAAACACCACAAACAAAAGCCAGCTCCAGCGCTCGAGAGGACCTGTGTTGAACATGCACTCTCTACTGATCACAATCCCTCCTGAATGAAATCATAAAACAAAACAGACCCTGAGCCATGATAACAACACAGTGGACAGCCAAACACGTACAGCAATGGCGGACACAGTCAAAGGTCATTGTCTGGAGATTTTACTGCCAACTTGATCTATCAACAAGAATTGATGGAATGCATTAAGCTGTTTTAACAGAGACTGTATTTATATAGCTACATGAAAAGCATGTGTGGAACATATGGGTAAACACTGATCAAACAACCTCCATATGCACTGCCTAATGTCTGATCTTCCTCTCCTGGCTGCTAATAATACTCCATGTTGCACTACAACAACATTGGTCCAGAGTCCTGACTGTGGTTTTTCTGTAGATTCCTGACTGATGAAGACAAAAAGGACACAAAGTAACCTATTCCCAACATTAAAGGAGAAAACAAGCAGGATCTTCAAGATGGTTCTCTCTCATTTATGTTTTTTTTTTTTAAATATAATATATATAACCACTGCTATAAACTTTCTGATCTTATTGTGAGGAGTTAATTGCCACACATTATTACAAAGATTAAATTGTTAGTTTACATAATCTTTATTGAAAATGTAATAACTTGCTCTGCCTCTCTGCTTATGTCACTTATGTGGCAAATTGGATAATTTGAACCAATCGCCAAAGGCAAACTCCCATAGATCAGGCTATTTTGGTAAACATCTGCTTTCAACATTTAATTAATTCCCAGCAGATCCGAAACAGGTCCTGCCTTTCTAGTTGAATATCTTATTTCACTTGAAAATATGTTTAATTATGGAAGCAAAATGAGTTGTGAATGGTAATTCATGTTGACATTAAACAAGGTATGATATCTTGTGTGGACACTAGAAACTCAGCATCCAAAATAAAACAAATGCTGGTAGCCAACTACACTGCGCCGCGTACTGTCTGAGTAGGTATAACATTTAAATTTGACTATACTTCGCAACCGTTAAAAAAGTATGTTCTATATAGTATGAATATGGGTAGTATAAATGAAATTCGGACGTTGTTACTGTCACGTGACCTACCAGCGTGACAGTAACAGTCATTCACTGCCATTCATAAATCTTCTTCCATGGCCTCGTGGGATAGTAAACTGTCCATCGGATGCACACTTCAGAATCTCGGTGGAAGAAGTAGGTCATCCAGGTACTTTTCGCCAAATGTTTTTCCAATACTGTGAATTTGGACATACTACTCTTTTTTCCACATATGTATTGGCGAAGTATTTCGGATGCAGCACTGGTCGTTTCAGAAAGGGTTAAACATAACCGACTGGTGATGGTGGGGGACAAATGGATGTCTTGCTTTTGTGGAGGACAGTGCTGGGTAAATTGCATAAATTGCATAGAGGGGTCAATCAGCCCAGCTTCTGTCACGAGGACGTCAGCTTTCCGTGGGTGCATTACGGCAACAGGCTATTTAACAAGTATGATCGTGGAGTCTGGTAGAGCAGTGAAAGCTGTAGGCTAGAGTAGCTGACCTTGAGTGCATTGGATCTCTGACGTGCTGAGAACAAATTGGAGCCGTCCAGCCTGACTCCACCACAGAACAATGAGGCTATTTTACAGCTTAACAATTTGTAAAGCATGACTCTATTCAGCAGGGAGCGAGTCTGCGTGTCCAGTGTGTGTATCTGAATTCATTTGTTTCAGTGTCTTTATGCATGTGTGTGTGGGAGACAGAAAGCAACATTCTAAAGGAGAAATACTGCATTACATGCAATCGTCTATTGAGGCAGTGATGAATTCAGAGGTATTGTGCATTGCATGGCACATACCATCTGAAATGGTTTTAAATTTCTATGAAATTGAAATGATATGGCACATTTAAGTTTTTTTATGACTATTATATTTATAATCACTTACACTACTATATTTGTATGTGCCATTTAACTGAATTATCATAGATACTTATGCCTTAAAAACAATCTCAGATGTTATGTTCTGTGCGATGCAAAACGCATTTCATCTAAATATACACTACCATTCAAAATTTGGGGACTTTAAGATTCATTTAATGTTTTTGAAAGAAGTATCTTATGCTCATCAAGGCTATCAAAATACTGTACAAACTGTTTACTATTAAAATATTATTCATTCCTGTGATGGCAAAGGTGAATTTTCAGCATCATTACTCCATGATCCTTCAGAAATCTTTATAATATGCTGATTTGATGCTCAATAAACATTTCTTATTATTATTAATGTTGAAAAGTTGTGCTGATAAATATTTTTGTGGAAATGGTGTCTCATGATTATTTGATGAATAGAAAGTTCAAAAGCATTTATTTGAAAAATAAATATTTTGTAACATTATAAATGTCTTTAATGTCACTTTTGATCAATTTAATGTGTCCTTGTTGAATAAAACTATTAATAATAAAAAATAATAATAATTACTGCTCACCCCAAAATTTTGAATGGGAGTGTGTGTGTGTGTGTGTGTGTGTGTGTGTGTGTGTATGCGTGCCGTGTGCGTGCGTGTGTGTGTGTGTGTAAAATATATTGCACATCCATTGACTGATTGACTGATAAACTCAAATCAGTACTTCCATGTCCTTTTCTTTTTTCTTTTATAGTAATTCATTTGATATGTATCCTAATAAGCGTAATAATATACAATCATGCACTATGTAGTGATCTTGATGACCATGTCCAAGTTTATTTTGCGATAATGATCATTACATAGTGTATTGAAGTCATCTAATCGTTTAGTTTCAATTGGCTTTCCTTCATAATTACCCACTCATGACCGCAAGGAGCACTGACAGGTCATCACTGTCTTATTAAATCAAGTTATTTGATTTATGAGATCATTTCTCTGCTTCAAATCAAACCCAAACACAAGTAATCACGGCAACACCGCATTAAGGCACCATCGAGCTAACAATGTGACCCCCGATAAAGAGATACCTAAACTAGCTCTCAGGAAAGCCAGAAACCACAAGACCCCAAAGGAAATAACAGAGAGCACGCTGGATTCAATTAATTTAAAGAAAAGTGGTCTGAATCAAAGGACACAAGAATGCCTTTTATTTACAGTGCCTTCCTGTTCCTCAGAAACCTCAGAGCTCCTCTTACTGTAAAAACAGCCTGACTGAACTGCCGTACTTAATGTGTGGCAGAGAATAACCAAGGAGAGAGAGAATAATTGACTGATTACAAGATAAGAATGAATAGACACTGTTGAACAGAGAACAGAAAGTGTTCTTTTCAGAGCTGTGCTCCTGTTGCCAAACGCCCTTAAAGTGCTGCGCTCTTCTTTCAGGCCGACTAGATCGAGATGAGTCATTTCAGCAAAGTGAGGGAGCGCAAAACTCCTTACCAAGATGTGGAGAGGGTTTTCTTTTTCAGGGGGGTGAGAGCAGAGGAAGTATGAGGAAGAAAGAGGAAAGAATGAAGAGAGAAGAGAGGGGAAAAACCAAAGAAAAAAATCCCCTATGAGTGTTGCAAAATATTAGCACGAAAATGGCAGCATGCATTTTTTTGACACTTCCATGATGTTAATATCGAGGTATTATGTGTTTTTACTACAAAAAAATCCCTCAGAGTACCATAGTGGCAAGAATACATTTGTGAACCCTTTGAAAATATCTGGATTTCTGCTTGAATTACTCATTAAATGTGGCCTGATCTTCATCTAAGTCACAATTGCAGACAAACACAATCTGACTAAATTAATAACACACAAACAGCTGTACTTTTCACAAGTTTATTGAAGACAATGAGTGATCATTTACAGTGCAGTGTAGAAAAAGTGAATATCTAATTGGAGTAAGATAAAGGGATAGGTCACCCAAAAATGAAAATTCTGTCATCATTTACTCACCCTCAAGTTGTTCCAAACTTCTGCTGAACACAAAAGAAGATATTTTGAAGAATGTCAGTAACCAAACAGCTGATGGACCCCATTGACTTCCAGGACCCATTAACTGTTTGGTTACCCATCTCATTTTCTTCAAAATATCTTCTTTTGTGTTCACAAAACTAGAAGAGGCTACAAAAGCACTTCAAAAGACCTGGATGTTCATCAAGATGAGACATCCTGTCTACAAATGTAGAAAATTCAGGACTGTTGTCTATAACTGTGACTTCAATGAAAGATTTCAGAGATCGAGAATTTTAAAGGGTTCACAAACTTATTCTTGTGACTGTAAATACTGTAAATGCCCCCTTTTTACATTTTAGATTTAAATTCAAACATACGACTCTCTCAACACTACAAGGTATGGATATCAGGGATCAACCCACAGACTACATAAAAGGTTAAGCAGTTCAAACTGAGAAAGAAAGAGTTCTTATACAAAGTCATTGTACTCCAGCACTGAGTTCTAGCACAGATTATTTATATTGCTACTTTAAACTATGTGTGTGAACATATGTTGGCCATGCAACCGCACCTTAGTCTTTCCCAGCTGCCACTCTTTCTTTGTGACGTCATACTTCGTAAGCAGATCTGCACACTTCCTCCTCTCGTCCGCCGTGTGGTTTTTGTCCCTCAGGATCATTGTGTATCTGCACAGGAAGTGGGCACAACTTAAACGCATACAAACACATTCCACCTCACTCATTTTACTGTAAGGGAACAATGTCCTGATCAAACGTTAACAGATTCAGAAAAACTTCCCTGGCATTGTTCATTATGGTTTCAAGGACTTTAACTAACTTTCCAAAAAAAACGGGCATCTGGAACAGATTTTGTGCTTCAAACTTTATTTTGATGGACTGTCAGTGGTTTTGTGACGGTTTCTTGGCCACGTGTCTCACCTGCTGAGGAAGTCTTGGAAGGTTCTCCGTACAGGAAAGCCTGCTCTACGGATCTTCACCGTCTCCAGCATTCCAGAGTAACGTAGCTGATTCAGAACCACATCTGCATCAAATTTATTTGCGTTCTGGAAGAAGATAGAATGAGATGTCCTTCAGCACGGATGTAAACTGGCTATGCCCAATTTTGGGTCCCATTACACTATCACAAGTCAATAAGAAACAGCATTCATAATCTCTCTCTCTCTCTCTAATATGTGACCCAGGACACATGGGACAATTTTTTTAAATTTAGATTTATACATCATCTGAAAGCTGAATGAATAAGCTTTCCATTGATGCATGGTTTGCTAGGATCCCTACCCTAGCAAATTAATCCTAGATTAATATTTGGCCGATATACAACTATTTGAAAGTCTGGAATCTGGAGAAAATCGCCTTTAAAGTTGTCCATTCATGTTCGCGATTGTGCTGCATTCACTCACAAAAATAAATGTTTTGTATATTTACGGTTGGAAATTTACAAAATATCTTCATGGAACATGATCTTTACTTAATATCCTAATGAATTTTCGCATAAAAGAAAAAGCGATAATTTTGACCCACACAATGTATTGTTGGCTATTGCCACAAATATAACCGTGCTACTTGTGACTGGTTTTGTGATCCAGGGTCACATATTATAAAGTATTTTAACTTTATAATATTATAAAGTATATTATATATAAATATTTTTAGTATCAGTACTTTTGTCTTATTTTCTGTTAAAATATATAAACATCCTTAAAAGCAAGATAAAAGACTTTGGGTAACACTTTATTTCAATGGTGTCCTTTAGACATTCTGTTGACTATAATTAACGTTGCACCTACATGTCAACTAACTAACTAACTCTCATTGGAGTATATGTATTAGTAGACTGTCTGCTTAATATCTGATAACACTTTATTTTGACGGTCCCCAAAAGACATTATACAGACTATAAGTACTGTCCATTATTCTACTAAACCCAACTCCTTATTCTACTAACCCTAACAGTCTACTAATACTTAACTAATACTCTAATGAGAGTTAGTCGACATGTAGGTGCAATGTTACTTATATTTAACAGAATGTCTAAAGGGCACCATCAAAATAATGTTTAACCAGGTTTATTATCAGAGAATATCTTGACCTAAGTGATCCCACTTTATATTAAGTGGCTTTAAGCTTTACTTACATCGAAAAATAAGTACAATGGCCCTCATTTATCATTCTTGCGTAGAAACGGGCGTATATGTTGGCGTAAGATTATGCTTACACTCCTCTCACCGCCTGATTTATGAAGCTGTGCGTACCTTTGAAATTCAGGTGTACGCAATACCTGCCCTTGATAAATCCCGCGGCTAAAAACGATCGTCATTAGAATAACACGCCCCTATATATTCAAGTCTCCGCTTCCCCCACGCCCTCATTTTACGCCATGGACACACGGAAGACGGCAAAGAAGAGAAACTTCTCTGACGTGGAGCCGAAATGACCTATCACAATGCATTATTTTACAGCACGTCTTTTGAATTAGCATCTTACAGTCTATGATTAGCATTCAATTTCGAATCACGTTACATGTATTGGGGTGTACAATAGTGATGATGATGATGTGATGTGGAGTACCATTCATTCACATTAATAATTGCATGACAATTTGTAATATTCTTCTTATTATTAGTATGATTTGTATTATTAATGACGCTTTTTGTTATTTAGAAGAAGAATGTCATTATTATTATTTGTATTATTATTATTATTTAAAAGAAGAAGAATGTATTTTTTATTATTTTGTCAGTCTGAATAATTTTTTGGTCATTGAAAGCCTTTCGTTACCGAACTCAGTCCGTGCGCACCTGCCGGGCCAAACCATGAAACGTCAGGGTATAGCGCACAAGCTCGCAACTGAAGGAATACATATGGCTACAAATCAAATGCTTTGGTAAAGTCACACAAATTAAACATTGAAGTCCATGTTGCACAAAAATAAACACTGAAGTTTATAATTACTATGTTGTTGTTGTTGTTTTTTACTGTGGGTCATAATATATAATATCTTTTAGTTTGTCAGTGCGTTTTGTGGTGTTAGGAATTGTTTTTCTGCACATTTCCGCACTAACTCAAAACGTGCGTACACCACCTCCTGAGCTGGCGTAGGATTTGAGCGTGCCGTACGCCAACGTCCATATTGATAAATCTCAAAGTCACCGTGGTTTTGGGTGTACGCCAGGTGTACGCTGGAAATTTGGTGTACGCACTTTTGATAAATGAGGGCCAATGTACTTATTGTGTTCATGTCGTATTGTAAATCACTTTTCCTGCTATTGAGATGTGATACGGGTAAGGTTAGGGACAGGTGTGGTGGTATGGGTGGGTTAAGTTGTAAGGGTCAACTGTGTAATTACAAATGTAAGTACATAAATTAATTACAGCTGTAATACCATGCTGGTATTTATAAAATATAAGTTCAATGTAAAAACATGTATGTACACAATAAGTCTGTACTGTCACTGTTATATATATTCATCACTATCAAGTAGTAGTGTCTCAAAATCAAAAAAGTGAGAGAAAATAGACAAACAAGAAAAAAAATGTCTAATGGTGTATGATATATAAACTTAATATATATTCTCATAAATAATCTTAATTTGGTAAAAAAAAGAATATATATATATATATATATATATTTGTTTTAAAGAAAGTTTGATATTTTTAAACCAGACCAAAGTACTGAAATAAAAAACTGAAGAAACTGATTTTTGCTGTGTATGACATGATGTTTCAGTTGTTGATGAAGGATTGCAAAGACAAACATTTTATCTTATGAATAACATAAACCAGATGAAACATGTGCAATGAGACTAGGAATCTTTATAGGGCCTGTTTTGATTTGACTTTAACCGTAACCTAGGGGGAGATAATATAGATGCTTGTTTTGATCTGTCACATAAAAAACAAAAGACATCTGTGGGCAGAAAAAGGGGTGAAACCCCAACGCCAGTCATGAGGCTTTCAACTGGGATTGATTATGTCTATTGTGTGAGGTGTTGCGTCATGCTCAGTGGCGATCTGTAGCTGGGTCAGTAACGTCAGTGCCTGGTGTTCAGCTGCTCCCACACAGTCCAGTCCCATCAGGCCGTTTGATGACTATGTTAAGGAGCGGGGCTCATTGTTGGTGGCCTGGACATCTGGTGCAGCTTAACTGCGTGCTCCTGACTTTTGCCTTGTCCTTCATTTCAATCAGCAGAATCTCAACCAAAATGATCATGTCAGGCTAATGTGACAGGACACTGAGGTGTATTTCTGGTCTGCCTGAGTAATTTGGGCATTCAACTTGGGTTAGACATGAAGTATGCCGCATTACAATTGTCCATAAAGGGGCCTGAAGTGGGGTGATATGAGCGAGGGATCACTGTTGTGTGGCATAAACGATAGAAGAAAAGGTGTGGAATGACAGAGGGAGCCAGGCAGATTGCCAGATGAGACCACAGATCCCCTCCCTGAGGACAGTTATCACAATACAACAACCCCAAAAGAACAGCCAACCCGATCCTCAGCCCGCTGAAACGAGAGTCCTTGATAAATCAATACAATCATAATAATTCCAGTAATACAGGAGCTCAAATGAGCACTTTTACAGCTCGACCGTATCATATAATGAAGGGTAGAGGCTGCCTCTGGCTCTGTGTGATTTGCTGGCCATTATCTCTACATTCCTCTGCTGCAGGTCAGGAGTATGATTCTCCTCTCTGAAGCAGGCAGCCGTGACCTCTGACCCCAGCACAGGCGGGTTTGGGCTGTAGGAATGTGCTGGCGGTGGGGATGGGCCGTTCCGTTCTGAGCAAATCAGCACAAAGAGACTCTATGTACAGAGCAGAACAGGACAGACTCAGAGCACTTGCTGGCTGTACAGCTTCTCACATGGAGATGATGCCAGAATGTGATGCAAGCGAATTTTTACTTTAACATGAGCAGAGGCCACTAGTCTGCTAATAATGATTTCAGTCACACTTTAGATTAGGGTCCAATTCTCACTATTAACTTACTATTAACTATGACTTTTGCCTCAATAAACTCCTAATTACTTCTTATTAATAGTTAGTAAGGTAGTTATTAAGTTTAGATATTGGGTAGTATTAAAGGATGTAGAATATGGTCATACAGAATAAGGCATTATGATGTGCTTTATAAGTACTAATAAACAGCCAATATCTTAGTAATATACATACTAATAAGGAACTAATTAATAGTGAGAATTGGACCCTAAACTAAAGTGTAACCATGATTTCTTAAAGGGGTCATATAATGGTACATGCACTTTTACAAGTTGATTGTACTGAAATGTGTGTTGGCAGTGCCTGTACACAACCATCATATAATGATAAAAATCCATCCAGTGGTTTTGTTTTAATCTCCTTATATGTTTTACCCTGCCTCAAATCGAGCCGTTCGAGCCTGTGACGTCACAAGCTCGCACGCCCCTCCCACGATTGTTGATTGACAGGAGCGTTTCAACACAGACCTGCCCTCGCTCATGAGAGAGCTGTCAATCATAGTCTGTGCGGACCGGCGCGGTCATTGTTGATATGCTGGAGCACTGTCTATGAGCAGAATGGCGTCTAAGCGATTGTGGTGTTCTGTTCTTGGGTGTAATAACGAACACAGCAGTCATTTTAATGTTCCTAAATCCGAACCGCTGAAGACGCAGTGGCTGAGTTTGTTTTCGAAGGGAATATTCCCCACGAGCAACGTCAATGCTCTCATGTTTGCGCGAATCATTTCACACACCAGACTGCTTTATAAACGAGGATCAGTATAAAGCTGGATTTGCTAAGAAGCTGCTCATGAAAAAAGGATCTGTATCAGATATTCGTGTTCCTGCTGAATCTCCAGAAGAATGGAAGTGAGTGTAACGTTTTATTAAACTTTATATTAATATATTAATCTTTGCAAATCACTAGCTGCACGCTTCACAATGAATGCGTCTAAGGTTTACACTCAGGGTACATTACGGCATGTTTTCTATGTATGACGTTCTCAATATAATTCATAATCCCACGTTTATACTGAACAACGCGTTATGGTTATTGTGTTATTGAGTTACAAATGGTGTATGCACAGAACAGAGAGGCGGGGTGAGCGAAGCTCATTATCATTTAAAGTCATATGCACTGAAACGGCGTGCTGAAAACAGAGCTGTTTTTGACCAGGTAAAATAAGTGTTTTCTTACAATACTAATGAGAATTTTTAATTAAAGTATATTACAAACTTTTAATTTAGACCCTAAAGAATCATATTAGCTTGTACAAAAATGGCATTATATGACCCCTTTAAACAGTTTTCCTGTAAAATACCATGTAAAAGGTACCCTTTAATAAATGTATTGATTAATTATTAAAATGTATTATTAAAAAAGTATCAATGAATTTTATTTCTTATATTTGTCTAAACTTAAATTTTTACCTTTTAGACATTTAATGCACAGGCTAAGTAACTGACCAGGTTAACATTTCACTGCAAGTTATATTTGTATATAACTGTTTATGTGGTGAATAAAAATCTTGAATCTTAACTTTAAAAGCAACATTACATACTTAAAAAAATAGTACAAGACCAAATACTCTTATATTAAAGATACGAAAGAGTGTTGCAGTGTTGCTTCAAAAATGTATCTTGATTCAAAACAGTGACCAGTGGATGTTCAAGGGTCAAAAAGTCTTTATCTCATTGCTCTTGATACTCATTTGCATTTCTGCATATTCAAATTTGGTGCATCGATATTTGGTTACGAGACAAGCTGGAACCAGCGCTGCTTGACGTTATTGACTTCATACGTTGCACAAAACATCTTGATGTGCTTGAATATGGGCATGCTTGAATATGATTCACGATCTACAGTGAAAGGTAAAGTTATTGGTGAATAACTCAAATTTGGGTAGGTTCCGTAAACAAAGCTACTATAAAATTTGCAGGCCGAAAAGGTCCATTGCCGATAGTGTAGTGATGCATCAAGCATAGCTCACACACAAAAAACCACTTTCAATCGAAGTAGCTTTCTGCTGATCAGTGAGAATCACACGGCCAACTTTAACGTGAGCTAAATATGTGTGGGGCACATTTTCGTCCTCAAGTGAAACTCCCGATCGCAGATTCTGAGCGAAATGACTGGATTTCACCCGCAAAATATTGCCGATATTTAATTTGTATGGACTACTTTAAGGTGCTTTTGGTCATTTTTATTATATGGAAAAGAGCAGAGTGAAAATTCATTCAAAATTGCTAATGTTTGACAGGAGAAAGAAAGTGATGCATTTTGCAATGACTTGAGGATGAATTAATAATGACAGACTTTTATTTTGGAGTGAACCATTCCTTTGAAAGTGACATTGAAGCTTTTGGAAGATTGGTTTTATTGTCTGTTTGACTCACTAAGGAAAGTAATATGGTTTGATTGTGATATGGACGGTACAAAAAATGTGTCGATCCTACCTTCTCCATGTTAGGTTTGATGCAGCGCACAAAGAAAGGGTTGGAGGCACTTAAAGTGGCCATCAGTGCATGAAGAGAGTCCTGAAACACAGTTACAATAACACTAAATTACACCCCTGCACAGGAAAGTAACAGCACCAAAAGGGCAGTTAAGCAACCAGAGCTGCTATTTGCTTGTCCGTCCCACATCTCCTGTTGAAGAGGGCAAACACAGGCAGTGACAGGGCCCATATTTACCTAGACACACCAAGGACCCTTCAACCTGGCACTCTGTCCCACAGTCTCAGACTGAGAGGCTCCAGGCTGGCTTTAATGACAGGGGAACAGGGGAACATGCACAGACCCTGTCAAACCCTTGTGCCCGGTTTGTGGGTAATCCCCTGGCTTTAAGAGCCACAGTACAAGGGCAGCTGCCAAATCCCCTGTACGGCAGTTATGACATGCAAAGCCCCGTAACCCCGCAAACCAGCAGATATACAGGGACTTAGACAAAGGGGACAAAACACACACATGCAAGGTACACACACAGTCACACAAGTGCAGAAAAATAAACAAGATTTCTGCTAGGTTTGCACTCATAACCTTGAATGTCCACCCAGAATAGACAAGAACACAGGAGCTCCGTTTCAAACCTTACTGAGCTGCTTTGCTGATTACTGGCTACACAGGCTTTCTTTTAAGGCAGCATCCTAACTATCGTGAAACCCATTAAGTGACTGATTTGGAATGTTCTACATAGGCAGCAATTCTGCGTGTCACACAAAAAGGACTTGATGATTCGATGATTGATTTCAAAAGAGTGCAACAGTATCTGCCCACTTTTTCAGCGGCCTTGGATCCAGCATTTTTCAATTGGTTTTTCCCATTAGGATTATAAAAAAAAAAGTCTTATAAGCCATGAACCAAACCAACCAGCTATGAGGTGAATCAAAACATTACAAACTTTGATTTGAAGCAAAAAAGAATGTGAAAATCTGAAAAAGACAAGACTGTGAGTGAAAGACTGTGAAAGAACTAAAATCTCATGAGGCATTGTGAATGAGATAATCAAATAAAAAAAAATAAAAAAAAATAAAAAAAATAGCTTTAAGGACTCGCAGAGCTACATCATTCGCAGTGCTTTATAGGAGTTGCCGGAAGTTTTGTGGCGATTTGATTGTCAGGATTCTTAGATTTGGTGGACATTTCTTTGCAGAATCAAACAGGAATTGGGCAGTTAAACAATTATTTACAAGAAAATACGTTGAAATGACGGCTTCAACAAAAAGAAAATACCATCATTTAACATATCTTACAGTATAAAATATACGTTTTTGAACATTCTTCTTGCTTCGTCAGCCATCTTGGATTTTTTTTATAAAGAGTTTGTCGCAATAAATTATTTTTATGTGAAGGATGTGAACCTGCCCTAGAGTTTAGTAAAAACAAGGTATTTTAGCACATCTGCAATGCCTTAGTTGCCTACAGGTTTTGGAACAGAGCACGTGTCTCACGGATCTTATCGTCCTGATTCACTCAAAATGTAGTTTCACATAGTTACATCACATGGCACATTCAGATCATTGATCTGTGTCTTACCCTGAACTGAGAGCTGACGGTGGGTTTGCGGCGGGCAGTGCCCATCTTCAAAGTCTCGTCTCCACTCCTGCTACCAACACGCTCAAACAGGTCGTAGATGAAGTCAAGCCTGAGAAACACACAATAGAGATAATATCACTCACAGACATCATTCATTTCAGCAGAAATGTAGATCAGCAACAACTGCTTCAAAGTAGTTGGATGTTTAAGAATGTATATGGGAAAATGTATGGGAAAGTTTTTTAAACAGCCTTTTGCCTTCAATAGATAATTTGATATGGTTCTAAAATAAGACAAATTCATTATTAGAAGTATAAATATTCCAAGTAGTCTCTTAGTTAATATAAGCTCATAAAAGCGGAATAAAGTAATGTTTTTAGATGGTATTAAAAGACATCACAACTTGTCAAAAATATTTAGTGTCAACTACCCTTTTATATTTTTTTGGCATAACACTTTAAAATAAGGTTTCATTTGTTAACAATAGTTAACTACATTAGTTAACAAGAAATAAGAATGAACAACACTTCTACAGCATTTATTATTCTTAGTTATTCTTAGTCTGTTATTTTTAACATTTACAAATACATTATTTTAAGGGTTAGTTCAAGGGTTAGCTCAAACATGCAGCGTAACACGAGAATGAACCTCATTGGTTCTTGCGGAAGCTCAAACGTGCAGCGTAACACGAGAATGAACCTCATTGGTTCTTGCAGAAGCTCAAACGTGCTGCGTAACACGAGAATGAACCTCATTGGTTCTTGCAGAAGCTCAAACGTGCTGCGTAACACGAGAATGAACCTCATTGGTTCTTGCAGAAGCTCAAACGTGCTGCGTAACACGAGAATGAACCTCATTGGTTCTTGCAGAAGCTCAAACGTGCTGCGTAACACGAGAATGAACCTCATTGGTTCTTGCTGAAGCTCAAACGTGCAGCGTAACACGAGAATGAACCTCATTTGTTCTTGCAGAAGCTCAAACGTGCTGCGTTACACGAGAATGAACCTCATTGGTTCTTGCTGAAACTCAAACGTGCTGCGTAACACAAGAATGAACCTCATTGGTTCTTGCAGAAGCTCAAACGTGCTGCGTAACACGAGAATGAACCTCATTTGTTCTTGCAGAAGCTCAAATGTGCTGCTTAACACACAAGAATGAACCTCATTGGTTCTTGCGGAAGCTCAAACGTGCTATCACGAGAATTAACTTTATTGGTTCTTGCGGAAGCTCAAACGTGCTGCGTAATACAAGAATGAACCTCATTGGTTCTTGCAGAAGCTCAAACGTGCTGCGTAATACAAGAATGAACCTCATTGGTTCTTGCAGAAGCTCAAACGTCCTGCGTAACACAAGAATGAACTTCATTGGTTCTTGCAGAAGCTCAAACGTGCTGCGTAACACGAGAATGAACTTCATTGGTTCTTGCAGAAGCTCAAACGTGCTGCGTAACACGAGAATGAACCTCATTGGTTCTTGCGGAAGCTCAAATGTGCTGCGTAACACACGAGAATGAACCTCATTGGTTCTTGCGGAAGCTCAAATGTGCTGCGTAACACACGAGAATGAACCTCATTGGTTCTTGCGGAAGCTCAAACGTGCTGCGTAACACGAGAATGAACTTCATTGGTTCTTGCAGAAGCTCAAACGTGCTGCGTAACACGAGAATGAACCTCATTGGTTCTTGCGGAAGCTCAAATGTGCTGCGTAACACACGAGAATGAACCTCATTGGTTCTTGCGGAAGCTCAAACGTGCTGCGTAACACACGAGAATGAACCTCATTAGTTCTTGCGGAAGCTCAAACGTGCTGCGTAACACACGAGAATGAACCTCATTGGTTCTTGCGGAAGCTCAAACGTGCTGCGTAACACACGAGAATGAACCTCATTAGTTCTTGCGGAAGCTCAAACGTGCTATCACGAGAATTAACTTTATTAGTTCTTGCGGAAGCTCAAACGTGCTGCGTAACACAAGAATGAATCTCATTGGTTCTTGCAGAAGCTCAAACGTGCTGCGTAATGCGAGAATGAACCTCATTGGTTCTCGCACATCAAGCAAACATGCTTGAGCTTCTGTTTACTATGCGTGAGTTGATGAATGTTTATGAACAAAAGCCTAAATTCAATCGTGTCTCTTTAGAAAATTTGGACTAAACCTCTCAATTCATATGGATTAGTTGTATGATCTTTTTATGAACTTTTTAAAGCGTCATAGTGGTAGTTGAGTAGACTGTCAATGTAAGGACATAAAGTTCTCAGATTTCCCCAAAAAGATCTGCATTTGTGTTCCAAAGATGAATGAAGGTCTTATGGGTTTGGAAAGACATGAGGGTGAGAAAATGATGACATTTTCATTTTTGGGCGAACTATCCCTTTAAATCAAAAGGGATAGTTCACATCATATTTGTTAACAAACAATGAATAATGATATTTTTACTACCTAACATTAACAAAGAATAATAAATGCTTTAAAAAATAAATTGCTCATATTTAGTTGTCATGTTAGCTAATGCATTTACTAATGTAAACAAATGAGACCTTATTGTACACTGTTACCATTTTTTTTTTTTTCAGTATGAGAAGTATGATTTACAGTATATGCATCACTGATCTCATGACAAGTCTGGAAAATCTTTGGATCATAGGATCCACAGCATTGTTTAAAATAGCAGAAATGAAGTGAATGATTTGTCACCTGCTGTCCTTCAGCATGTTGAGAATATCATCCCTGAATGTGTCTCTGTTCTTCTCTAGAATGCCACGCACATCATACAATACCTGACACACACACACAAAGATAAGTTACAAAATACATGTACAGTGACTAAAATCCTAATTGATCCATTTATTAATAGAATTTTTTTGTAAACCTATTGCATATATAGCCTACTTCATGTGTCTGCCCCAACATTTCTAACTGAACTGAATTGATTTGTGTATGTGAAAAAAAAACACAAAGTCTCTGATTCCTGCACTGTACTTTCAGCCAATTGATGAGAGACCAAAGAGAGAGTTTGATCGAGCTGGTGCTGCCGAAGTTTAATGCAGTCACCTGTTGAGTATTACTCAGTCGTGACCTACGTGGCGACAGATTCCTCCACAGGTCTTAACACCATGAAATAAACTCCTGAGCTGTAGAGTATGCAGCATCCAAAACACATGCTGGGAGTATTTATATCACCAACTTGATAATTACAATCTCTCATTTAAACAGATAATTCATCCAAAGCTCATAGTCCGATCTGTCATTTGTGTTGGCCAAGAGAGCAGATGCTAAAGATTCTGCATCTGAAAGTATTTGAAAGACTGGATTGATATTGTGGGAACATGTCAGACATTTTGCATGCAACTTGCATATCTCAAACAGTGGTAAAAATCAGTACCTTTGGCTTGTTCTCCAGTAAAAATATATAAAAATCCTTAAAACAAGATATATTTACCTGAGAAGCATGATGCAACCTGATGCAATGCTGCTTCTCAGGAAAAATGTATCTGTGTAGATGTTTTGGCTGGTAAACAAGACTAAAATACAGATTATTTTTTGAAGTAAAAAAAGTAAAAGCAAGTAGAAGTGTGAAAGAAAACTGTCAGGGAAAAAAGAAATTGCAACTAGAGAAGGAGCTGGACAGCATGCCAAATGCTTCTCATGGGAATGCATGTTAGCCGTGCGGTTTCCAGCACATTAAACTGTGAAGGCTTCGTGTAGTGCCCATGGTGAAAGGGCAAACCAACTCTTCGCTTTCCATCTCTCTGTACTTTTTTCAGCATACTGAACTGACTGCTATCTCTTACTCTCCTGAACAGACTCTCTTATAGACTGAAACTGACACTGGCAGAGAGAGTGAGAAGACTGGGGAAGTCCAGAGCTCACTTCCTCTTGGTAATCACACCTGTGCAATAGTGATAGAGCGGTATATCGGTCAATATTTGAGGTATCAACAGAAATGGTCATTCCACCTGCTGTTGGTTTCAAAACGTAGCAACAAATGAAGTCTGATGTCAATTTAATGCATTTCAACTTTTGGCAGACCTTATAAAATCTTTCCAACCTCACAAATAATAGTATATAAGTAATACTAAAATAACACCCGTGTGTTGATGTAATTACCTCTCCTGCATAATGTTTAATACCAAACTGGTGATCTGCCACTCTTGGTTTCACGTAGTAAGGGTTTGTCTGCAGAGGCAGAAACACATAACACATTATTTCACATTGATTATATTTTGCAGCATGCACACTCAAAGATACTTCAGTCGAGGCAGACTGTGGGTTCTCCGAGGACACACTCATTGTTCCCGGGGCCTGAGGAAAGCCTGCTCATGTTACCGTATTGTGCATGTGCGTGTGAGAGGCTGCGGGGGTGTGACTGGGTGGTGCCTATCGGCTCAGCGCCCGTCTTTATCAGTGAGTTTAAAGAAGCATTAACTCTCTGTGATCTGAAATGAGAGGAGGAGAAGAAAGCGCACATGTCTGTGAGTGCTTTGAAAAGGAGGACTTACGGCATGCCGGCTGTGTAGTTTCTCCAGCAGGGTGTAGTCCGTGCCTTTAGGGAATCTGCTCTCTTCATTGATAAGAGCCAACATGCCCAGTTTCTGAAAAAAGAGCACACTGATCTAAGCACACGGTCTCTGGCTCTCCACACACAAAATGTATTATTATTAACCACAGGGGTCTCGTTCGTAGTCATGCATTTGCATTTTGCACGAAGGTTATTTTAAGAAGTTGATCGTTTTCTGTGACAATGCAGGAAGAGGACTAAGATTGAGGATGCAAATTATTTCAGTAACACTTTATTTTACTGTGTCCTTGTTACATATGTTATATGTACTTACTCTAGTAATAACAGTAAATTATGCCTAATTACAAGCAACTAATCCTAAACCAAACCCTATTCCTTAGCCTATAGTAAGTACATGTTGTTAATTGATATTACTCAGTACGTAAATGTATAATTACACTTTAAACAAGGACGCATTAAAATAAAGTGTAACCATTATTTCTTTTTTCATATTACCCTTTTTAGCCACTTGATAAGGATGGTCTGATAGTATATTTGGCTCGGGGACATCTTTTCAATTTGAACTGGAACATGTCATTTTTACTGTAAAATAACATGCAATAATTTGCAATCTCTGTCTAAAACATTCCCTGTTGACTTTTAGAAAAGCAGTTATGTTTGCAAATTCGCTTTAATATGTTTAGCAGATAATGCACAAAACAATTACATTGTGAATGTTCCAGACCTCTTAGAGACGTACACTACTGTTCAAAAGTCTCTTATGCTCACCAAGTCTGCATTTATTTTATCAAAACTATTTTTATATTAGATTTATATAAGATATAAGATTGCTTGTAGTTTATATTTTAATATATTTTAAAATGTAATTTATTCCTGTGATGTCAGAGCTGAATTTTCAGCATCATTACTCCAGTCTTCAGTGTCACATTTTTATGGAAAAAGGATTCTTTGATGAACAGAAAGTTCAAAAGAACAGCATTTATTTGAAATAGAAATCTTTTGTAACATTATAAATGACTTTACCGTCACAATTGATCAATTTAACGTGTCCTTGCTGAATAAAAGCATTAATAAAAATAAATATCTTATTGACCCTGCACTTAGGAGGGCAATGTTAATGACGAAGAGGGTAGGAAATGATGCAGAGAAGAGACAGGTACATCACCTGTATGAGCCCCTATTTACTTTTGGTAGACCGTCTAATCCAGCCTTTCTCAAACTTTTTTCAGTCGGGGCACCTTTCAAAAGTGCATAAAATCTCAAGGCACCCCAGTGTAAAATATAAATTAAAAACACTGCATAACCCAAATGTAAATGCAAATGTCCTGTTTATTTAGACAGAACAGTAATGAACAGAGCATAATACGAACTGTAAATAACAATAACAATAACAATAATAATAACAACTTTACAGGGCTATCATTTTTGTGAAAAAATCCTGATCGATTTTTGAGACATAAACGTTCATTGAATCGATTGTAAAATCGATTTTCCATGTCTAAAGACGTTTCCATTTTCAGCGCCAAATATAGGCAAATCCACGGACAACTAACAGGCATTAGCACGAGCGTAAAGAGTGCGCTTGAGACGCGCACAAGTCAGCAATATTTCTGATGATTTATTGGCATGAAGTTTCGTGCACAATGACAAACAGGAGTGCAAGATTCTCGAAAAACAACAAGCAGAGTGGACTGCCATAACATCAATGAAAAACATTACTGCAGGCTTCGACATGGCTGTGTTTACGATTAGAAATGTCAAACAAATTTCGCCTACGTAGGCGATTGTAGGCCGGATCTGTATCTGTATGCATGGGACTGTCTGAATACCGGCAGAATTCACATTTTTGTTGTAAAAAGAGACACGTTATGCAGAAGTATAGTATAGTTTGTATGTGTGTTTGTCAGAGCCTGCAGTTGCTGTGTGACGCGCGTTCACGCGGTCGGTGTTGTTGCTATAACGCGGTGCTATGGGTTGCGTCACTTGCGTCAAGTTGTGTGTGTGTCTTGCTTCGGTCTTGTGAGACGGATTTTTATGGTTAATTTTATATATATATATTTATCTAAAATGAATTTACAATTTTATTAATACGTTCATATGTTTAAAAAGAAGAAGAATGTATTTATGTAAATTCAAATATATATATATATTTTTTTTTAGCCTACGTAATTTTTTGGGCGGCACCCCTGACAAAGTCAGGGGGCACCCCAGTGTGCCGCGGCACCCACTTTGAGAAAGGCTGGTCTAATCAGCCAATCTTTCTGAAAATGACTACTGTAGAGATTATAACTGTTTATCGACAATTAAACAGTTTATAATGAGCACTGTGGGGTCCCAGTGAGAGCTGATTAAAGGTTAAAAGGCCACCTTTTCGATCAGATCCAAACACTCAGCATTGTCCATCCAATCGATGGCCTCCCAGTGTATCCCCTCCCTGTGTGGAGACAAAAGAGAACCTCTCGAGCAACAGATACACACATCACAACACCACAAGTACACAAAGGTGGTATTATCCTCAGGGTTCATGTGATGAAATGAGCTGTGACCGGGCTCTGCTGACCCCCCCTCAGCCATCACATTTCAACACAAGAACACAACTGTGTGGGAAAGAGGAGACCCATTCACACATCTGGCAGAGTGCCTCCATAGCCACTACAGCAATAAGAGACAGAGAAACCCTCTCCCTTAGTTAATCTGCTATCTCTCCATCACTCTGCCCTAAAGGATAGTGCAGGACAGTCCATGTCACGTACATCATGTCACATACACCTCTGGGACACGTCGCACCTCCTTCCTTCTATACAATTTCACCCTGTTGTGACCTGAGCTCTCTGTGACACCTGATAGCTTGAAGCTACGTGTCTGCAGAGCAGCCTGTGTCGGACTCTTAGGTTTTCCACAGCAGGTTCATGTCCTGATGATGACGTAACTCTGAGGACATATTCTACGCACGTAAATGCTTAGTCAATGCATTACAGGTGTGCAGTCCAGTTGTATACACTTATTTATTTTTAGATTGTGTGTCAGGAACATACTTCAGAAGTCAAGAGGATGATAGAGCTTCTTTTGTACACATGTGTTGTTGTTTGCTAAAACTAATACCTGAAACACACCGTTCACAAGTATGTGAGGCAAACTTCCTCTAGCTCAAAGGTGCAGTGGAATGTCTTAGCGTAAACATTAGCGTGGTAAAAGTTATATTTTGATAGCTAGCCGAATAATAGAACATCCAGTTTATCTGCACAGATATTTGATAACCGCATGTGGCAATATTCAGGTATTGCTATACTAGCAATAAGCATGTATGATTCTCTAAGATTCTCAAGGCCTGAAAAATACGTTGAAATGTGTCAGAGTGCAATTCATAATGTGAAACAATCACGCAATGCATTCTTAGAGTGGCCACAAAGGGCGATCCAGTAAGCACTGCTGTTTTCTACAGTCAATTTTCTCTTTCAAGTCACTATGCATGAGCAGTTTGAAAACAATCTTGATCAATCTGAGTATGTTAGTTACTAACTTAAATATCCCCCCCTTGAGTACAAAAGTCTGTTATCATCACAGTAATGCAAGACCTCATGTGCTGAATATGAATATGCACACTTCCCTAGTATAGGCAAAAACCAGTCCGAATGAATAGTATTTGAAAAACAGTAGACGAAAAGTATCCAGATGACCTAATACTTATGCCGAGATTCTGAAGTGTGCATCCAATGGATACTTTACAATCCCATGAGGCCATAGGAGAGGATTTATGGAAGGGGGGAAAGCGATGCAAGTGACGCCATCAGTCACGTCAAATGCATATTTATATAGTATGTCCAGTTTGCATTTATACTACACACATAACATACTGTGCGACCATTGGAAAAGCATGTTCTATATAGTAAGTTTTTCATCAAATGTGTGTGATTTCAGTACACGTCTGGTATGGTATGGTATGGTTTTGGCGTTATGGCCTAATTTTTTCATCTATCTAGGTAAATGGAGGATGGAAGACAGTGTAGAACTATATAAGCTGGTTTCTAGAGCAAAATTAGGTCAAAATCTAACCAGGGTCACTGGCAGGACCCACCTGTTATATTCAAGCTGCTCCAGAGAGAAGATGTGCTTGTTGAAGTACTCCTGGAGCTTCTCATTGGCATAGTTAATGTTGAACTGCTCAAACCGGTTCACCTGGAGGGGGGAAAAAAAGTCATAAAAACATGACAACATGCCGTCGGCAGGTTGTCTGTCTGGAACATTTCACCTCAACTCAACGAACTCTCACCTCAAAGTTCTCAAAGCCAAAGATATCCAAAATGCCAATGGACTTGAAGTTGTCCTTTCCTTTGATTTTCTGGTTGATTCTGGTGATGATCCAAGAAAAACACTGGGAATACAATGCCATGGCCACAGAGTCCCGGGAATCAATTGCCTTTGGAAAGCAGGGCAGAGACAAATATTAATCCAGAGATATTTTTCCTTTAGTTAGCCTCCAACAGTGCAATTTAAAACCATAAAATCAACAAGCAATGTCTCTAGAGATTATTACAAAACACTAAAATGTCTATTTGCATTTCAACATCATAAAAAAAAAACTGGACTGAATTTGCAGGGTTGTTACTCTCAATAATTGTGCGTGTCTTTAAACGTTTGAAAACAATGCATGTCTTTCCTGATTTATAGCTGAGATTGGATCAAATACAGTGGCCCCAAATAAGTATGTGGACACTTAAGCCATATTTAAACCACCCTAAGGTTTTCAAATTATACTCAAAAGGAAGAAAAAAATCATTTCTGGTTGTCAAACAGTAGTGGAACATGTTAATGTGATGAACTACACCGGTGCTAGGATACAGATACACACTGTGAGAACTGATTTATACAGTACATCCACTAAATCTGACCGACAAGTTCATTTTATAAAAGTGAGGAAGCTCTTGAGAAATATCTGCTTCAGGAATTTCAGTTCAATTACAGAAGGAGAGAAAATTAATAACCACAAATTAGCCTCTGCTATTCCTAAGAACACTAAACTCCCGTCTATTGTTTCAGCGACACTATAATTCATCAGTCAGAGACACTTCTGCCTGATTCTGAACTGTGTGTTGGCTCCATCAGAAAGACCTGAAAGAATGGCTGTTTGTGCAGGATACAGCCAATGGCAGCTGTTGAGGTCCTGGCCACTGTGTTAGTGCATTATGAGAAAAAGAGGAGGAGGAATAAGGGCCTCCATTAAGACGTGGCCCTGCTTTATGACCGCTAACACAGGCTGGAGTTAGTGGCCATTGTCTTTGTTCATGAAAAGATTGCTTGTGTGTTTCTACCGAGTCGGTCACAAAGGCCAGGGCCCTTAGTACATGCTGGATGAGATTTATGGGATAATGTGGGTTGGGGTCTCTTTATTCTTCGCATGCACACACTTTCACCCATTCCCCCCCACCCCCACCCCATTGGTCTAGCTCCCTTTTTCAAACCAGTTTCCAAAAACAAGCTTTTGATTTTCATTCACTTGACCATGAACTTGCATTGCGGGAATGAATAATTCTTAAGAGTACGTTTTGAGCTCTAGTGCTAAACTGACTGTCTCTTGTGTTTACCGTGCATATTTGTGTGGTAGGCTGCCCCCATTAGGCGGCTGCTAACCGCCGTCTCCACACTCTGCCTCTATTGTGTTTTTTCTCATGAGATCTTTATCATGGAGTTATTATAGCAGGAATCCGAGGGGACAAAAAAACAGGAAATGGTACCAAGTCACGCAAAGACACTTTTTACACAGGCGTATGGGTGTGAGCATGTTTTTTAATGACAGTCTGTCAGTAAATCTGGGGTGAGTGTGGGGATGCAGGGAAAGGAACTTGTCTCTGGACACACTGAGGGCACAGCACAGACATGTTACGACATGATACAACATGAAGGGTAAATTAAACAAAAAAATCTGTAGCAGAAATATAAGACTTTTTGAAACCATTGCCCAAACTTATTCCAAAATGTAAATAAACAAAGACATATATCTTATTCCTAAACATGCCAGTATACTATACAACATCATAAAAATGGAAGCATGTCTTGGTTCCTTACCTGTTCCACAGTGAGGGGCGAGCAGATTTCTTCTCCTCTAAGGATCATGGACCGCTGTGTCAGAACCTCAGACAGCTGAAAGGAGTCGAGTCCCAGCAGATCACTGACGACACTGACCACTGTCATTCAAATAAACACACTGCATAAGCCTTGACAACTGTGGAAAGTGTGATTATTCATTATTATTTAGTCAGTATTAAACGTACATTAATATCTTATCCACATTTCAAATACTGAGATAATATTTATTATTTTGTCAATATTCATAGAGCAAATTGAATCTTCAGTCTCATGCATGTCTTCAGCATATTTTTGAAAATAATTATGAAATGTTCCAAAAAATCGAACTGGATCAATTTGTGACCGTAAAGATTCAAGTTTTCACCAAACAGTTTAAAAGTTTGGGGTCAGTAGGATTTTTGTTTTTGTTTTAAAACAATGAATACTTTTATTCAAAAAGGATGCATAGATGTATCAAAGGTAACAGTAAAAACATGTATAATGTTACAAATAGATTCATCAAATAATCCTCAGAAAGAAAGCAGTATAGCTGTTTTCAACATTAAAACCAATAAGAAATGTTTCTTGAGCGCCATATTTCTGAAGGATCATGTGACACGAACCTCCTTTAGTGGTGATCTGAGCACCCCCTGCAGTCATGAACTCAATGTTGCCGATCTGTAAGACCCCAGACAGCAGCTTGAAGACATCCCGAATCTCTTCCTCTGTGAATTCCATCACTTTCAAAGCTTCCTACAGTCATTAAATAAAATAAAACCATGAACATCTATTTTCCCCCTTATAATACAGATTACAGAATAAAAACATAATAAAAGCCTAAACCTGTTCATTATATAAAGCGATCGAGTCTCTTCAGAAAATTAGGGCTAAACCGCTCAATTCATATGGATTAGTTTTACAATCTGTTTATGAACTTTGTTGGATGTCAAATTTCTCAGATTTCTTTAACTACATTTCATTTGTGTTCCGAAGATGAACATAGTCTTACGGGATTTGAACAACATGAGGGTGAGTAAATGATGACAGAATTGTCATTTTCGGGTGAACTATCCCTAGTTCTACCTACTTCGTGCTGAACGGTTTACAGAAAAGAGATGATGTGGTGCCCTCTAGTGGAACATTTAATAAAGCCCAATTGCATTGCATTAACCTGTTTGTTCATGAGACAAGTAACTGTCTAAGAGTCAAGGACACTGTCAAACACAGACCATGCAAAATATTGACTGACCATCACACCATCATAGAGGTGTTTGTCATTCAAGCTTCTGTCTTTCACACAGCCAGACTGGTTGAGGTAATGATACGCCTCGGGAGAATCAGCCAGCATGTACATTTCTGAGGATGAGAACACGGAGTAATATAAAAACAATGGCCAGAGAGAAAGATTCAGCTTATTTAAAGTTGAAGTGTATAAAAAGCTAAAATCTCACCTCTGTGCTCATGCTTAGCACCTGACAACAATGCATAGAAAATATGATAGTTCCTCTCTCCCGGATTCTGCCGCACAACTCGATTCTGGAATGTTATGACATTTTTAAAAGCACAAAGCATTTAATAGGCCTACAACTGCTCATCTGCAGGTCTATAAATGGCTAAAAATACTACTAAAAGATACCTTTTCAAGTAAATAATCAATAATACAGCCTCCCTGAATATTTCCACTCTGAGAGAAGTGAAGCTGAATGAATTTGCCAAAGCGACTGGAGTTGTTGTTGTAAACGGTTTTTGCATTCCCAAACGCCTCCATTATTGGACTGGAGAGGAAGAGAAGGAACAGGTGTTAAAACATTGTGTGTGTGTGTGTGTGTGTGTGTGTGTGTGTGTGTGTGTGTGTGTGTGTGTGTGTGTGTGTGTGTGTGTGTGTGTGTGTGTGTGTGTGTGTGTGTGTGTGTGTGTGTGTGTGTGTGTGTGTGTGTGTGTGTGTGTGTGTGTGTGTGTGTGTGTGTGTGACCTGCTCTGTACAATGGCCTGCTCCACCCTGGTGGTCCTCTCTGACAGCGGAGAGCCTGTGGAGTTCTGACTCATGACAGACAGGAACTTCAGCAGCAGTTTGGTGCTTTCTGTCTTCCCAGCACCACTCTCTCCACTGAGAACACATGAAGCACACAGTAAACACACAAGCACACATTTGTCTCTAGATTTATAGGTTTGCATATTGTAACATACTTACTTAAGTAAAAATATCACAACCGTTAAAAATGTTGGGGTTGGTAAGATTTTTAAATGTTTTTGAAATTAGCCTCTTAAACTAACCAAATCTAAACGCTAATATTGTAAAATAAAAAATAAAATAACTGTTTTCTATGTTTTACTATATTTAAAAATGTCATTTATTCCTGTGATGTCAAAGCTGAATTTTCAGCATCATTACTCCAGTCTTCAGTGTCACCTATCATAAATGTTGAAAGCAGTTCATTTATTAATATTTTTGTGATACCGTGACACAGTCTTTGATGAAGTTCGGCATTTATTTTGAACAGAAATCTTCTGAAACATTATGAATGTATTTAATGTCATTTTTCATTCATTGAATGCGTCCTTGCTCAATTAAAGTATTAATTTCTTTAAAAAAAACAAAAGAAATAAGCAGCATGTTACCTGATGAGCACACACTGGCTGTCGTGTCTCTTCCACAGGCAGCGGTAACACTCGTTGGCCACAGCAAAGATGTGTGGAGGTAGTTCACCCAGATGATGTCTGCTGTACACATCCACTGCCTCGGCATCATACAGCCCTGATATCTGCTTATAAGGGTTCACGGCCGCTAGGATGGAGCCAATGTTAGTCTGTAAGGTAGAATGAACAACAATACAGGTTTGAGCGTACACTGTTTACATTTTTGATGTTGAACAAAGTATGTATCGAAATGGAGATTTTGTTAAAGCTCCAGAGACATTTGAACTTTTCCAGCCCAATAGACAATTTAACTAACCTCGACTCTAACACCATTCACCTGGGAAAAATAATCCATGGCAGTATTTTGTATTGTTTCATTTATGGTTCTAAAAGTTTCCAAGTGCGTATGAATGTAATAATATCTACGATCTACAAAACATCGTAATAGTATGTTTTCTCATAGATTGACACTCAAATGAAATCTTTGCACTACAGATTTCCAATCTTTGATTATTTTTTAATTATTGTTGGTTTGTCTAATAATCTACAATATACCTGTTTCAGGTCAGTTTAACATTGTATATTGAGGTATATGTTAAAATTCAGTTTGACTGTTAAATAAAAGTAAAATGACAACATATACGTTAATGAAAAAAGTCATAAAGCATGAATGCTAAGTAGTTTCAGACTGATAAAACTAGCATCAGAAGTAATAAAAATTAGAAGACAATGTATCCACAGAAAAACTGTTATTTAAATTTTTGTTTTGAAATGTTTGTAAAACCAGAAATAATCAGCCAGTTCTTGGGAAAAATGTTTGCTACATTTATTTCATGCTTATTGGAAACATGGACATTTTTGGACAGCGTTAAGCTCAGATTAAACCCCATTAAAGCTTCACAGAACAAAGTTCTTTTGAGGCAAAAGACTTTTCAAAGTACAGATTGTTCCCTTGTTTACATGAAAACACTGCAATCAAATTCCTATTTGAATTTAATGAAGATAAATAGTGTGTGTGTGTGTGTGTGTGTGCGTGCGTGCGTGCGTGCGTGCGTGCGTGCGTGCGTGCGTGCGGTGTTTTGCAAAAACAACACTTACATAAATAAGGTCCTTCTGGTAACGAAGAAAGAGGTTGTGCATGATGGCGGCCTCATGTAACTCGGCCAGAGTGGACATGTCGTCCACTCCAATGATGCTGGTGGGATGCATTGGGAAAACCTTGAGCCTGTTCACCTCACCCTGATCCAGAGTTATCACCTTCAACACACAAAAACACAAAACCATGTCATTATCAACACAAACTATAAAGGGCTGTCATCAGAGGAGCAACTGGACATTAGTTTTAGTGCTCTCAGATTAACCAGAAAGTATGAGTACACCAACTACTACTGACATAACTAAATATACATTCCTGAACAACACTTTAGAAATCCAGAGTAAGAAGAAATGATCTGTGATTTATGCTGCTATGAAGCAACAGTGCACAAGACAGGGCTCATTTACAGGAGTATACATGTGGGCCTGAAGCTTGTTTTACTAATTTGTCCGGGCCTGCTCGATCTTTTTGCCAAGTTGTTTCACATTCCTGAAACCATACCCCCCCATGACATCTTCACAGTGATCCTCTCACTTTCACTGTCCCGAGCACTTCCTCCACGACTTGTCCTCAGAAATCCTTGGACACGCTGCATTATGCTGAATCACAAGGCTGACGTCCTCATTGCACATTGCATTTGAACCGGTTCTCTTTAATCTACTTAACTGATATTGAGGATTTCTTGAGATTTGTTTGCTGAATCATACAGACATTAATCATGTGTATCTAGTGTAATGCACTGTCATTCATTATTCACTGATGCACAAGCAACCCACCACTTAAGTTTGCTTTGAGGTTGCACACACATCCTACACAAATCTTTTTGTAAAGTAAAGGTCCAAATAATTGTTCAAATTATATTAGAAGAGAGATAATTTCTGAGCAGATCAGTAAACATTCACTGTAAAAAAAAAGTTGCATCAACTAGGATTTTTAAGTAATTTCAACTTAAATTAAATTAAACTTACTGAAAAACTGAAAAAATTAGTTGAATCTTTTATAACATAAAAGCAGTTTGTTTGTTTTTTACATTAAAATTGCTAAACTTATTTTGAAGTGTTAAAGCAACGTAAAACGTATGTTGAATAATTCTTTACAGTGTTGGGTTAAACTAGTGACAATGTTACTTTTTTAATTATGGGAGGAACTTTGGGGAAGTTCCACTCAAAAAGACTAACAAATCATTTCAAATCATAAGTTTGAACAAAAAAGAATCCTTATCCTTCAGTTTGACTGAATGCGCAGTAACATTTCCTTCATGTTTTATTTTCAGATGTCAAGAGAAGAAAATCCTTGGTATTTTAATAACAAGAATATGATAAGATGATAAGAATATCATCTATGGCAAGAGCTCTTTTCAGTCACATTCCTTTCCTCCTGATTAATTTTTTATTTTTATTTTTTTTGTACTCCAGTTTAATGTTCGGTGGTTGAAGGGTGAGTAGAATAATGCATCTGATTGTACCCAGTTTTTGAAAATGCTTATTATTGTGTTCATAGAGTGAACCTTTCGCTGATTGTTTACAGTTTAACGGAAGTTACTCCCATAATGCACTCAAAGCGTCATGGGGCGTAAGAAGAATGTGGATAAAAGAACACATTTAAACAGGCTTTAGACAGCCAAAGTCTGCTTTATAGGCCGACAATGTTTAATTAGTTGTGCTTGCTAAGGTGTTGTTCATATTTAAAGTCCCAATGAATTCAAAATTGACCATACTTACTTTGTTTGCCTAAATTGATCGTTTTGTGGTGAAAAATTCATCCATGCAAGTCAATCTACACAAAAAAATTTTTTGGCTTCGTAATCTTTAATCAAAATCTGAAATTTCCCCTCCCCTCTGCGTTGGAGGACCTTGCCTGATGACGTAGGTTTCACGGTTTGGGCGTCTTCTTAACATCCGTAATCACGCCCCTCCAACTGACAGTAGACAGGTTGAATGAAAACACCTACTTTTCTAGATCCAATCAGGTGCTAGTTGGGAAAAAAGCCACGCCCACCATTTTGCCTCATTTAGTATTCCGTTTCTCTCGGAAATACGTCACAACACTGGAGAAAAGTCGTTTGCAACTTCCGGTTCACGGGGACTTTAAGGTTAGGACTTTGAACAAAACTGCAGTATTTAACTCCAACACGAAAATTGCCTAACCAACCTTTAACCAGTAGACGATAAAACCAGCGAAGGAAACAAAATCACTCGGAACACTTTAGCAACTCATTTGGAACACCCTGGCAAAGAACTGTAGTTAAATTCTTTAAAATTGTGTTGAATGTTTCTTTCGAAGCGTGTAGGTCATAGTTATTCTTGTAACTGAGATCGATGACAAATCCATTAGCAAAAAGTGCCACTAAAATTTAATGATCATACAATAATGATCTTATCATTGTGGCTCGTCAGGCCTGTCTCCAGACAGATGAGATTCATTGATCAGACATGACAGAAAGGAAACAGCACTTTGGCAGAATCTCTGCCCCCATCTGAGCTAATGTGATCTATATGGAGATACGAGACACAAAACCCATGTGTAGTAACACCTGAGGCTCTGTTTATCAAATTAGAGTTTCGTGAAGCATTGTGAGTTTATTCTAGGGGGCGCATTGGCTTTATCATGAGTCATTCATGTATAATGAGGTCATTGTTGCATCATAGCTGTGTTAATGTGTCTCATAGTTTACGTTATCGTTGTGTGACGCCTCATCTTTAAGACCAGACCAGGAATCTGCTCTCTATGGGTCATTTCTCCACACAGAAGGACACCAGACGCACTTTGGGTCAAAGTTCGTGCACAAAATACATGAGCTCCAGCCATATGATTCATCCGCAAACATCCAGTAAAGAAGTCAAGGATGTTTAATTGAAACATTCCTGTTGAGACAAATTCCCCAAATTCCTATCCATGAGATGCTGGCTCCCACCGCTAAGGGTAAACAAACAGCCTGGAGGTTGAAACAACACTCGGTACATGCGAAGTGGGAGGTTTAAAATGACAATACATGTGTCTAAATCAAACATTCACAGGATGTGGTAAGAGGCAGGGCCATCATTACGTGGGGATGACCAGGAAAATGGCCCCATAGGTTCGTCCGAGTGTATGGGTCCATAAACATCCACAAAAAGGGTGTCTCGTACCCTGCAATTCAAGGAATGGCCCAGAGGTCTCTTAAAAGATTAATCCACTTAAATGAATGTCACCACTAAAAAACTATAAAGAAAACCAAAACTGATTTTATGACTCTAAAACTAACTGAAAAAATAAATATAATGTATAGAATCTTAATTTTTTTTTTAGATAAGGCGATAAAACCCTACGAAATTTAAAGCCACTACTTAATTTATATTATTGAACCTGAGCAGCACAAAAATAATACAATTAAAATAAAATAAATAAACTATAAAACAGTGAAAAAACTAAAACTACACCGAAGGTAACAGTCATGCAGGGAAATCTAACAAAAATAAAATTTAAATAAAGAAAAGCTAAAAATAAAATGTTTTTATTGCAAAACTATAATAACTCTGAATTTACACCACCGTTTGAAAGTTTGGGGCCAACTTCTTTTTTTTCTAAAATAAATTAACACTTTTATTTTGATTGGATGCATTAAATTGATCAAAAGTGACAGTGAAGACATTTTAATGATACAAAATATTTATATTTTAAATAAATGCTGTGCTTTTGAACTTTGAAATATGAAGCAGCACAACGGTTTTCAACATTGATAATAAGAAATGCTTCTTGAACAGCAAATCAACATATTAGAATGATTTATGAAGGATCATATGACACTGAAGACTGGAGTAATGATGCTGAACATTCACCTTTGCCATCAAAGGAAAAAAATACATTTTGAAAACATTCAAAATAGAAAACCTTTTAAGAAAATATTTTAAGTAGTAATAATATTTTACAACATTACTGTGATTATACTGTATTTTTAATCAAATAAGTGCAGCCTTGGTTTCTTTCAAAAATATTTTTAAAAACCTTACCAAACCCAAACTTTTGAACTAATATAATTATAACTTGAGCTGGTTTCATAAAATGAGACAATTTTGGTCTCATAATCTGACTCTTAAAGCAAAATTCCATATGCCTCATCTGATTGTCCTCTGCCGTTGTGTGGCTGTGAACTCTCTTATGTCAGACAATATATAACACAATTATAGGGATATGACAACTGACTGAGCAGCATGATGGCTACTGAACAAGGATTTTCTACACCAAACATTTAAAATCTGATGCAATCTATCATAACTGCTGTCATTTTGTTCTCAGTTCATGCTGACTGCAAACAAATTGTCATATTTTTTTGTGAAAATAAGAGTGTATTTAACATCTATGATCATCTATGCGCCCCAGGTTATAGTGTCCTGCCGTGCTCAGCAAATTGACACATGGCAGGGAGTCAGCTTGTCATAGCGCCATTAGCACATTACAGGCGTTCAGACAGGACAATAGATGTCAGTGTTGACAGTGTGCCAGAAAACGGGAACATCACCTCTGGTTGCTAAGCAATGGACCATCCCTGGGAGAACTGGGAATCCTGATGATGAGATCATCAATAAAAAATGAGAAAAAACAACCAGTGCAGTCAGTTTGAAAAAAATGATGCCCTATTGTGGGTTTGTAGGAGAATTTTTTTTGTAGGAGAATTTGTAGGAGTTATTTTTTGTGTTCCAGTATGCTATCACTATAAGATACCACATGTCCACTTGTTTAGCGGAACTGTCCATTGTCCAAGTAGGTTTATCTGTCTTCCTCAGCAGCAAGGCTTCCTCATACACATCATGCACGAAGTGATTAAGCATTAGGAATTGTTGGTAATCTTCATTCAAGTTTGCATGACTTGCATGAGAAATGGCATATTTATTCCTGTAAGCATTGTTCAACTCAAGTCTTTCATGGTCTTCCAAACAGTAAGTACACACACAACATCAATGCACTTACATGAGAACCAACACACTCCCCTAAACGTGCGTGTGCATGTGAAACCATCTGCTAAATCCATTGATCCAGAGTTATAAAGTGCACAATCAATGTTTTCCTAATGTGGTGTTTTCACCGATGGCAGGGCCACTGACTGATGCACCAAAACAAGGTCGAAAAAAAAAAATCTGAGAGCATGTTTAAATATAAAACTACGCAGTATCATTTTAGGACTGTATTTAAACAAAAGATTGTTTATTCAAGCAAAGATCATTTTATGCTATACACATATTAGCAAATATATTTTGTAATGACTACGAGACACTGTCTGCCATCTGTGTCATTAAAATACCATCATTGCCTTGTATACGCAATAAAATTCAAATTAATTTCATCAAGTTTGTTCTATACTGAATCAGCTTATTAAAAGTAAATAATGATAAATGTCCAGTGACTGAAGGTTTGCAATTAAAGAGTTGCTGGCATCTTCTGTACAAGTACCCTGCATGAGGCTTTGTGTTTGAAAGACCACACCCTGCTGTATTATTGAGCATGGACTATATGAATATGCATGAGGTGGGTGGGGCCTGATCAATAGGGACGGCCCAGTAGTGAGCAGACACATGGAGGCCAGCTGAAATGGCTCTACTCTTCACAGGAAGCGTTCTTCTCTCAACCCATCCGCTGTACCAGCGCCACCCTGCTCAAAGCAATCCCAGAAAAACACAGGGTTTGCTTTACAAAACACTATAGACTTAGTGAAAGCCAAGAGTCTATTAAATACTGCTGCTGTTAATGGTGTTAAAAGCATTTCAAATCTAAAAGTATTAAAAATAGGCAGTATTAATACATCAGCTTTAAATAAAAATACAGATAATTTACTTTTTTGCACCAAAGACCAAATGAGACAAACAGACAGATATAGTGAACCGACAGACAGACAGACAGACAGATACATACATAGACATAGACAAACAGAGCTCTGGCAGGAGGACGTCACTCTTCTGAATGAGCTCGAGCTCAAGCTTCACCCCAGAACAGTATGTCAGTGGAGTGTCAGTCTCTTCACACCTCACTGAACTCACACACAGCCTCCTGATCTCTGCTGACCCCTGCTTTGGCATGGATGCCACAGTAAGCTTGCTAAATAAAACATGTGATGGGGTCCCATGCACTTACTATGCAGTTTTATGTGCCAGACACTGCACTGTATGCCGGGAGTCTAACTGTCGGTTTGGGGTGTTACCAGTTTGAAATGAGAGTTTCATTTCATTTTTCATTATCTTTAGTTGGTATAGTCTCTGAATACTTCTCTATGGTCACATACTGTGCTTGGTTGAAATTGGCCTAAACACAAATTGATCACCACCACATTGGAAGTCATTTATGTTAAAGTGCCCTTTCATGCAGTGTGTTCAACAAAGTTGTAAAGTCGAAAGTGCACGATAAATAAAGTAATTCCAAAAGAAAGAATCAACTCAGAACCGCCTAAACGAGTCATCTGTAACTTGAATTAAGTCACTAGAAAAGACATTTGCATAATAAACTATGCTGTATAGTTGTCTGCCCACGAACAACTTGACCAGCCCTTAAACACGTAATTTTACTGACGACTGCTTCTCAAATCTCAGAGTTCAACGCGGGATTCGCAAAACACTTGCTCTTGAAAGATGAGTCAATACCCAGTTTATTTGGACCAGCTTGCTCCTCAGAATCACAACCTGTAAGCATGAATAATTATTAATGTAGATATTTTCAACCGGGTGTTCAGAATACGTAGTTTTGTGTTTTAGATTGTGTAAGTTTCAGGCAAACTCACGTTATTACTGTCTTACTGAAATACTTCTGCTAAGCAGCTGTGGGCCACTATTACATAAAACTGTGTCTATTAATGCAGAATGTCTGTCGTTCTTATTACTTTGAGTAAAGGTAAAGGATGGAGCAAGATTTATTTTACAAACGTGTATGTTACATCAGTCATTCACGTAAGTGCTTGGTAAAATCGACGTCATCGTTACGGTCTTTACAATGTGTACAATCGCTGAGGACTGAGGAAGCCTCCTGAGCTGAAATTATGGTAATAATAACTGATAACCAATCACAACAGACTGGGCCATCTGGCCAATCAGAGCAGAGCAGGCTCAAGGAAAGGAGGGATTTAGAGAGACTGAATCATCTGACGAGTCGTTTGAGAAATTTTGAAAAATGTGCTGATGTGCAATGTATATTATGAGAAAATTAAAGTTTTTTTTTTTTTTTTTTTACATTTGATGCATGTATACCTGTTCTAGGAGACCTCCAAAACAAAATTAGGGAACTTTAAAAAAGCATAATAGGGACACTTTAATGTGTGTGGAATATAAGAATTGCAGAGTCTGCATTAAATCTGGAATTGAAAAACTGCCGGTTTAAGCAATTATGGAAATACTCAAGTATTCATCTATGGAAATGGTAATCAGTCTGAAGTGATTTAAATGTGGAATAGGAATAGTAAGAAAGAAATCAATTTGTGCTGTATGTTCAGAATGACACACACGATTACTAATAAGATTACAGATTTGTATAGCAGCTTTCCTGTCGCAAGATAGTCCATACTGTATGTTCTGTTAATAATATAAAGAATCCAATTTTCTACCAAATCAGGCATATAAATAGGACTAACGATAGATTAAACATTAAGAAACAAATAGTGAAACAGATTTGAAAGATTTGCACAAAAATACAGTAAAAACAGTAATATTGTGAAATATTACTACAGTTTAAAAGAACTCTTGTCTTCAGTGTCACATGATACTTCAGAAATCATTCAGATATGCTGATTTGGTGCTCAAGAGACATTTCTTATTATCAATGTTGACGATGGTTGTGCTGCTTAACATTTTTGTGGAAACCATGATACATTTTTTTCAGGATTCTTTGGTGAATGGAAAGCTCAAAAGAGCAGCATGTTTTTCCCCTCATTATAAATGCCTTTACTGTCACTGTTTTGATCACTTAAATGTGCACTTAATACCTTAAAAGAAATTATTAATTTTAAAATAGAGATACTGTAGTGTAGACAGAGATGTGGACAAATAGAGAGAGATGGAGATTAAAAATTGATCATACGAAGTCTGCAAGAAATATTTAAACATTAGCTGAACTGTACAGTATATCACATTCCTAAATTATGTAGGACCAGAACAAAGCACACAGGCTACATGTTGACACACATCTGATAAATATATTCTGACCTGCATCCTTATTGTCCTTTGAGAACAGGATTTCCTCCAGACACAAAGCTTTAACAGAGGGCCATACTGATTAAACGCAGTGGCTAAACTCGGCTTCCTTATGGACATTCCTGCTATTCATATCAAAAGGGCTAACTAATTCAAACCGTACTTTACCTGCAGGACCTCACACAATTGAAGACATTAACAGTAAAACGTTTATCTCTCTCAGACAGATGGCCATCCGATTTATTAAGAATAAAATGCCAAAAACAATGGCAGAAATAAAGGTGAAAGCTCTTAAAGAGAAATGAAAGTTCTGTCATCATTTAATCACACTCTTGAATATAAGGAGGAATTTGAAAGAATGTTCAAACTTTTTTAACACAATGAAAGGACATAGTGACCAACATCATCATTTGTGTTCCACGGACGAAAGTCATACAGGGTTGGAACTACATCTTTTTTTTTTTCAATAAAAGTTCACAGCAGGCGGTCTCTCTTACCTCTCCATAGTCTGTGGTGAGGATGAGAGTCCGGTCATCACAGCAGCTGACGATGGAGGGAAAGAGCTGCTCCTTATCCCGCACCCACACACAAGCTCCCTAAAAGACAGACAGACCAAATGAGACATTAAATACAGCAAACCAATCAAGAACAGCCCAAGAAAGGCAAGCTCATTAAAGATCTGACCTAAGAAGACAGAGATTTCCTTCCTATTGCGGCTGGTACATAAATTAAATATGCATGTATATGGAGGAGACAATAGTATGTGCTTCTAAAAAGAGCTGAGAACAGAACAAGATGATACAAAGAGGATATCAGTCAGCAATTTCAATTGATCTAAACCACAGCCCAACCCTTAAACCCCCTCATGGTCTTTCCATCATCATCATTAAAGCACCACAGCCATTCCGTCTCGCTACGTTTTCATTTTGTAGTCATACAGTGGTGCATTTGACTGGTAGAAAGATCCCTTCCAATGGGTTTAAACACACATTGTGGGCACACAGGCAGCACAGAACACTATTCATGCCAACAGCACATGCTGCAAACCAAAGTAAAGCCCTTTTGACAGCACCAAACCCAGTACTTTAAAAAGAGATGGTTGTTTCTCATGTCAGTTTTATGAAGGGGCCTTTGCTTGTGCACTCGCCTCTATGATAGGGTTTTTGATGGGATGCCAAAGCGTTGCTAAGTGGCTGCTAGGGCATTCTGGGTGGTTGCTTACTGCCTCCAAATCAATAGAGTCAAGTCCCAAGATCAGTCTGAATTGTAAAAGCAAACCCTCATCTTCAAGTCGTTCTAAACCTGTATGACTTTCTTTCGTCTGTAGAACATAAAATAAGATACTGTGAAGAATGGTTAACTGTTTGTTCATATATAGTTAATGGGGTCCAAAACAACATTGGACCCCATTAACTTTCAATGTATGGACAAAAAAGACATTTTCAAATGATCTGCTTTTGTGTTCTGCAGAAGAAAGAAAGTCATAGCTACAGGTTTGGAACGACATGAGCGTGAGTTTCCATTTTTGGATGAACTATGCCTTTAAGTTTATGCGTTTGCTCAAATCTCTAATGATGAAAACAGCTGCAATGAAAGGGTGGTCTAGCAATGCTTTTGTCTAATTGTGTGGCATCCTTTAAACAGAGCCGCCAACTTCCATGTTTTCAATCGGAAGGCCAAGAATGCAGAAATGGAGATGCAAAAACAGGAAAACAAAAGTCTGGCTGCTAAGACCACTAGTCATTTCCTGGTGTTGTGAACTGTAACACTGTCTTAATGGCCGTTCACACCAAGGATGATAACTATAACCATAAAGTTTGAATAACTGTTGTATATTCTATGAGAATAGGGAAGTCCACACCACAACTATAACGATAACCAAACAATATTGTTGGAATCACTTTGAGAAGGATTTTTTTTTTCAGCAAATGAAGCAAAAAACAATGACAGCCAATCAGAATCTATCCTGCTTTAAAGAGCTCTAGCTTTAAAGTGGCAGATGAAAAAAGTGCAGCGTGTGCTTATAATAAACAGAACGTGCGTTATTGTGCATTAGTGTAGACGCTAATATGGTAAAAGTTATAGTTACGGCTATTAGTGTGAACGGGCCTTTAGTGTGTATGGTGTGCCAGGTTCTGATCTCTCAAACTTACACACTGACAGCCATAAATCTTCACAGCGCGGCCATTCAGACGGCCAATGGAGTGTTGAGAGAGTAGTTTGTCCAACAGCACATGAGAACCAAAGGATCAATGGGAGAGGCTTCCACCAGGAAACCCAATCCCCAAGGTCAGAGCGTGAGGATATCAATCCTCATTAACTTTTAATAATGACCTGACATGTGCAACAGCATTGGGTCCCGTAGGCAACATGTGCAGGCATTCACACAATATACATCCACTCTTTCCAAAACACGCTGTATGAAGATGATCATAGACACATGATACACTGCAATGGAGACGTGGATTATAATGAGGCCAGACACATTCAAGTTTCAAGTGGAGGTAATCGTTAAAGGGATAGTTCACCTATAAATTAAAATTCTGACATAATTTACTCACATTCATGATGTTTCAAAAATTTTGGGCATGTGGTACAGTGTTAACAGGAAAATATTCAGCTGTTGTTCAGCTGAGGCCAGTTCAGTGTTGATTCAGTTCCATTGTAAAGAAAATCAATTATTAAATTAGTTCATTTCATCTATAAAGCAGTTTTGCAAAAAAGGACGTCATCGTCCAGCTCAGTTCAGTTCTCATACAACAGCGTCAGTACAGTCAGATCAATAATATTGTTGAATATTAAGTGTCCCCAACTAAGCAAGCCACAGGCGACAGCGGCGAGGAACCCGAACTCCATCGGGGACAGAATGGAGAAAAAAAAACCTTGGGAGAAACCAGGCTCAGTCAGGGGGCCAGTTCTCTTCTGGCCAACGAACGAACACGGTGTCATTATGATTCAGGCTGCATCACAAGTCAGAATTCAGATCGGGATCATTATTAGCATTTAAAAATTCATCCAGTTCCTTTTGCTTGAAGATCAATTCATCACGCCGGTATGGATCCGAAGCTGGTCATAGAGTCTATGCGGAGGACCTGTCTGGTTCTTGTAGTCTCTGCTGAAGATCTGTCCCGATGGCTGTCATGTCGACGAGGCCTTCAAAGGGGATTGTCTAGAGGACACGTTCTCTGCTAACATTCAGGGCTGCGTTTTGGTTGCGTCTAGGTGCAGGTCCACCATCCGATCTGATCACACTGCTATAATGAAAGTGGATTGTGACCAAAGGCTGTCAAGCGCCAAAATCATAAACCATTGAAGTATCATAAAAGTGGTCAAATGATTTCAGTTTGTTCATCACAAAGCTATCTTAAGACTTCATATGACTTGGAATACAGTGCACAAGTTGTGTAGACCACTTGAGACTTCAGTGCGTTTGTGTCATTTTTGGAGCTTGACAGCACCTGATCACTATTCACTTCATGGACGCTTTTCACAGGCTGTGATGATGCAATTCCACAGTTATAAACATTGTAAGTCTAGCAACATTATTTATTTTCACTTGTACATTTATAGCACAGTACTTTGTGCTATTTTATCTTGGTATTAAAATACAGAAAACTGACAGAAAATGAACACTGCTGAATAGGTGTTTCAAATACAGTGGAAAGAGTGAATGAGTGACAGAAACTTTGACATCTTTCTTTCTTCTGACCATCATAATCTCTTTTTTTTTTCCCTCTTTTGTAAACTCATAGAAATGCTATCGTATTTTTTTTTCTTTTGCTATTGGAGCTAGTGGAAGCACAAAAAATATATGTTGTAATCTCCTGTTTTTAACAATAACCATGATGACTTCTGCTTCTGAGAACCATGGAAATGTGAAAAGGGTCAACAATATAAACAAAAGCAGCTCAGACATTTTGCTAAATGTCTTCTCTTGCGAAAGAAAGAAAAGCGTGCAAGTATGGATCAACATGACAGTAAATTAATGATGACAGATCTTTCATTTTTTTATGAACTCATTAAAACTTAAAAAAAGCCACATGTTTGAATCCCAGATAGGTAAATCTTTAAAAAATAATTATTCCCACGTAGAATAAGATCTTCAGATTTTTAGCAAATATTATTTAACAATTTATTTAAACTTGGAATATGACATCTTTGAGAAGGCTATCTCTTTTTCAGTATGTTCCACACCGCGTAATGTCCTGTATGATCAACAGGATCTTTTTCAGGTTTCTTTAAAAAGCCTTGCTAAATGTAGCTCAGGGCTTATGGGACTGAGTTAAAAGAGCTTGAAGAAAAGAAGGGGTGGGGAAGCTAAACTGTATGCAATTGTGGAATTGAGGAAGAAAGCTAACGTTCAACTTCTCTTAAATGTTAAATCATCACATATGCGCATCAGACTAAATATACCTCAATCAGTTAACGCATTCCTTAAGCGGTCATTCCCTAAACACAATCAGCTCCAAACGCAATACCTATATTTACAGAAATACGATTAAAGCATCATTTTATTGAGCTGAAATCATGGATAAGATGAGAGAGATCAGCCAGGTCTGTAACTGGCACGGGAGGAAAATTACTCAAGCACAGGGCTCGGAAAAGCTGTTTCACGTGACCTGACTGAACTGAATTACATCTGAAGCAGGGTCTATGGATTTAAGAAGATCAGATGCCATTGTTACATAATTCTCATTTACAGCATTCCCGCTTTATGGCACATGATGTCATTGAATTACTTGTGTTTAATCTCATAGATTAAAGGAAGCAAACATAAGAGCCTTTGCAACAGTTGATCAGCTACATTAAAGTGGTGGGTTTATTTAATCTTTTTTTGTGTTTAATTGATAAATAATAAAAGATAATGGAGGAAATAAGACTATTAGTGCATGCAACCAAATGAAAATAACCTAACAAAACTATGACAGTTGCAAATAGGTAAATCATAAAATGCTCCATAATATGAATGATAATAATCTAGCATTATTTACCATTATACTACAGGGCTGTTGAATGCTTGAATCTGATTGGTTGACGAACGTTCTAAGGCATACAATTATTTTCAGGGAAACACACGGCTAAAGTAGTTCCAGGTCTTGACCGCATTACAGTTCCATATCACTTCACCAAATGATTTCAGTTATTTCAAAGGTCCTTACAGACCACAAAAACAAAAGAACCAAAACCCACAAAAACACTGACCAAGAAAATAAATATAGTAAACAACAGGATAAAACCGACAAATTATTATTTGTGGCCACAAAATTACATTTTATTATGTACGGAAAGCACATACTCTCTTTCTCCCGCTCTCTCTCCTACTCAAACACACACACACACACACACACACACACAAACAGTACAGACACATTCTCGCACAGAAACGTGTTGTCAGCGCTGCTCTGATGGTTTTATCAGTAAAATAGTTTAGGAACTTAAAAGCTACATGACATTTCTCAATAACAAGGTAATAATGACGCTGTTCTTGAATAGTTTAACATAGATAAACATATCTTCGCTATATAGTCATAGACGCTGCTGCCGAACTCTCTAAACACTGTTGAGAGACACACAGACTCGGGTAATTCACAAACGC